TCGCGCTGTGAGAATCTCGACACCATCTTCCGTGACGAGAAGAGTATGCTCTGTAATTCATGTTAGCTCGCGTCGCTTCCACACACCCAAAACTCAACTTACCAAACTGAGCAGTCATCTTGCCGTCAATGGTGGTACTGGTCCAGTTATCGGGCCAGGTAATATCCCGGTACTTTCCTAGAGCGATCATGGGCTCAATAGTGAAAGTCATGCCAGGCTTGCACTCGCCAACGGTCTTGTTCTTGGCGTAGTGAGGAACGTTAGGAGGGCAGTGGAAAAGCTTGCCAACTCCATGGCCACAGTAGGTTCGGATAACACTGCAGTTTTGCTTCTTGGCGTGCTTCTCGATAATGTTGCCGAACTCTCGAATCAATGTGCCGGGCTTTACAGCCTTGATAGACTCGTCCAGGCATTGTCGGGCTGTTTCAACCACGCGAACAGTATCAGGATCAGCCTTGGCCTTGTCACCAATGTAGTAGGTCTCGTTCAAATCGGCGTGGTATCCCTCATGATACAAAGAAACATCAATGTTGAGAATATCACCGTCGAGGAGAACACGTTGATCGGGAATGCCGTGGCAGATGACTTCGTTGACGGATGTGCAGCAAGACTTAGGGAAGTTGTTGTAGTTCAAAGGAGAGGGATAAGACTATACTAGTCAGTATTTGCAATGCGATACATACAGCTAGAACCGAAACCAGGTATTCCAAAATACATACGTTTCTCTCAATGCAGGCCTTGTGAACGATCTCGTCGATGTAGTCGGTGGTTACGCCAGGCTTGGCAGCGGCAGCGGCAATGTCGAGGACCTCTCGCGCAAGTCTGCAGCTCTTTCGCATAGCATCCTGACCCGCCTTATCGAGAATTTCAATCTTGTTACGGTTGGTGAGAGAGCGGCTGTACCTAGGGTTGCCGTCTTGCCACCACACGGGGTGGGGGATCGATTGAGGCAGGGTTCGGTGCGGCGACAGAGGGTACACGGGTCGCAGAGAGCCAGCGTAGGGAAAGTTGGGGAACGGGTTGTAGTAACCGGTAGCTGGATCTGGTGAGATTGCTTTCGGAGCTTTAAGGTGGTGGAGGATATTACTTTGCGATTTGTGCATTGTCTTGTGGATGCCCTGCGATATTGTCAGCTGTGTTCCTGTCGCATACAGTCTAGTTGGACGACGTACCCAGTTACGCTTGAAGCACTCCTGAGAACAGAAGAAGCTGTCCTTGATTCCGAGCTTCAGGCAAGTCGGGCACTGTAGCGATCCGGCATCGTTGGAGCAGTCGGCGCCCATGCACTGTTTGGCGGGGGTATCAGCAGCCATCGTCGTGTTGGTGTTGATGCTCGAGTAGGTTGTGCAAAGAAATTGTGCTAATGTACTAAGGTATAAACAAGAAGTGAGTTTTCTATGTAACGACTATATGCGACCACGAAGCGCTTAAGTAGTGCAGTCTCACAATTGTCTCTTGTGGTGCAACTTTCAGAGGAGAGCAAAAGATCGACTCGGCCCCATTTGCGGCGACTTGATAAGCCTCGATAAGGGTAGTCACTTACAGGACTGGGCAGAGACGCTTAACACTGGACGGGGACTTAAACGACTTTTATGCGTTTTATGCGATTGGTGCACTAACAGCGCTGTCTTGAAACGGTACTGTTTTGGGAAAGTGGGGGATCCTGACAAAACGGACCACAGTGTAACGGAAGTATAACTGTCTGGTAAGGTGCAATATTGTTGTAATTTTGGAGAGCTCAACCGCTACAAGTTCAACATAAAGATATCTTTTGCTCTGTCCTGCGACAGTGAGATCTCCTGGTTAACATACAAAGAGATAAAACAAAGCATAAGTATAGCATATGACAAGGGTCCAATAACAGGAAAACAAGTCAATGCAAACCTCATATGATGTCCAATACTACGCTATTGATACAGAGTTATATGCGTAATGTTCCAAGGTGTTAGAGTAACACGCAGTAAATACTAGGCCAGGCTTGTGTATTGTGTCTTGTGTCTTGTCACTTGTGAAGCCTGAACTGTCTGGTCAGCGATATTTATTGCAACAGTTTCTCTCTGCAGTCTCTCTATTGGATCATAGTACTCAAAACAGAACTCTAGACCCTTTTCTCTCCAGCATTCCATATTTGCGGTAATTATGCACATGTCCACCTACTCCGTACCTTTGTAGACTACTGCTCTTTTAACAATGCCGAATCTTCTGATGGATAAAGTGGATCCCCGCTTCCGGCCGGCCGCTATCGCTTTGATGCAACCTGAGCAGCCGGTCCTATCGGGGCTTAAATCGGTTTCTCTTTAGTACTTACTAGGTATGACGACCTCAATGTCTCGCTGGCCCAGGACTTGAACTTTTTTCTCTCTCTTTTCATCTCCGTTCGTCCTTGAAAGGCAACTTCTCACGAGCAAAGATGGAGAAGCCTCAGAAGATTGTTGTTGTTGGGGCTGGTCCTGTTGGTTCTCTGGCAGCTTTATATGCTGCTCAACGAGGACATGAGGTTGAAGTTTATGAGTTGCGACCTGGTAAGTGACTTTCCTAGTATATCCTATTTATTTGTCGAGTCGATCAACTTCCGCAAGCCCGAACCAGTTTCCCTGAAACTGTCTCGTTTTATCCTCGTTTTCTTAGAGTTTTGTCGAGAATTCTTCTCGTCCGGTTATTATACTAGTAGGCGCATTCACTTACTGGTCTAGACCTCCGGGATCCCAGCACTATCCCGCTCAACTTCACCAAATCCATCAACCTCGCCATTTCTGAGCGCGGGATCAATGCTATGCGCCATGCTGGCCAGCCAGGACTTCTCGATCATGTCATGTCCACAACGATTCCCATGAGAGGACGCATGATTCATGGCAGGAGTCCAACCGGAGCTCATTTTGAACAGTCTCAAGACTACGATGTTAAGGGACGGGTATGCAAAATTATCTCAACGCTCAAGATACTAAACTGACGCTCTCGTGGCAGGCAATCCATGCCATTGATCGTGCAGGCCTGAATAAGCGACTGCTTGATATTCTGGACAACATGCCCAATGTCAAGCTGTTCTTCAACCACAAGCTCACAGGCGCAGACTATCGCGCTTGCAAGGCTTGGTTTGAGGTCACTGACGGAAAAGCGTCCAAAGAGTCTCGTTTCAAGGAGATTGATATATCCTTTGATCTCATGATTGGCGCTGACGGTGCCCATTCTGCTGTTCGCTACCACCTTATGAAGTTTACCCGGATGAACTACCACCAAGAGTACATTGACACTCTGTGGTGTGAGTTCCATCTCAAGCCTGTTCAAACAGCCAACACAACCGATCCAATGGCCAAGTTCCGGATGTCGCCTAATCACTTGCATATTTGGCCTGGCAAGGATTTTATGTTCATTGCCATTCCCAGTGATGTGCGCCATTCTCACTTCCCAACTTTTCTCCACATTTGGTTAACACTCGTCTAGGACGGCTCTTTCACATGCACGCTCTTCATGCCTAGCAAGGATTTCTCAGACCTTGAGAACAACCCAGCTAGTGTGCCAGCCTTTTTCGACAGCCACTTCCCGGGTGTTACAGATCTAATACCCGGCGATGAGCTGGTTGAATCTTTCAACACAAACCCTCACCTGCCACTCATTAGTCTCAAGTGTAAACCCTATCACTATGGCTCTTCTTGTGTTATTGTTGGCGACGCCGCCCATGCCATGGTACCATTCTATGGCCAAGGCATGAACGCGGGAATGGAGGATGTCCGGATTCTCTTCTCCATCTTGGACAAGCATAGTCATATCGATGAATCCAATGACCCTTCTAGCGAATCCTCCTCCGCATCAGGGCCCGCCTTTCAACGATCACTCGCATTGGCAGAGTACTCGGCCATCCGTCCACCGGATGCACATGCAATCAATGATCTTGCTTTACAGAACTATGTTGAGATGCGATCATCTGTTCTGTCAAAGCGCTACAGGTTGCGTAAATACCTTGAGGAGTGGATGAGCGTATACTTCCCTCGACTGGGATGGCAAACAAAGTACTCCCGTGTAAGCTTCAGCAATGAAGGTTATCTGGATGTCATCAATAAGAGTGACACACAGGGGAAAATATTGGTGCAGGGCTTCTTAGGATTGCTTGCCAGTCCCTTCATTGTTTCAACGGCAATGTTTTGCTACCGTTATCGGCGATCAATATCCGCCATGTTCAAAGCAATTCGACAATTGCCTTAACTCAGAGACCATTTCCGGGTTCTATTCGTCTTTACACAAGCTCTCCTCATGCTGTTCATAGAAACTATTTATTACTGCTCACTTGCAAAAGGATATTGGCTCCTACAGGTCAAGTTGTACTACATGTATAGAACAAAATCATAATTAAAAAAGACAAGTTGTTCCACCATTTTCCCTCTATATCATTTTGCCTACATAAGTATAACTAGAAACTTTGGTCCGACTTCCACATAGTACTTACCTAGATTCAAACTGGGTCATTTCTTTTCTTGGTGTTGCAGTTCTCAGTTATCACAATGACCTTGCTCAATAAAAGTAAGGTTTTCTTCTACACATAAACTACTCCAGTGACTCAAGTAAAACGAAATACCACCTGCAGAATCGTGTCCTTTTACATATTGCTCTGTTCATCAGAAACTCCACCACTGAATAGTTCTCGATGCATCAACCCGAGTATATGCGCTTACCGGAGTGGATTCTTAGTCATCCTCTTAGAACTTTGAATTTTTGGTCCAACAACGCTACGGGACCCCAGCGAGTAGGCCAATATACCGTCGCTTCAAGCCCACGACTATTAGAGGTGAGAGTTTTGGTATCAGTCGACTGATCATCTCAATCTCAAGTTGTCTGGTCTCGATTGCGTATACGCAGAGGTAAGTTTGGCAAGCTCATGATAGGGCGTCTCGAAGAACATGCTAACAAGGATTGTTCACGACAGAATTCAAAGACCGAATCGACGACTGTCACCCGAATTCATCTTCCTTCGAGTCGAGATCTCTCGACAGGTCAAACCGCCCACCATGCCCTCCATCACCAACATTGCGCACATGTGTTCGCACCTCCAGAACGCCTCCAAAGCTCGTCTTGGTATAACATCCGTCAAAAATTGCAAGTACAACCTGCAACTCGCCCTCGCATTGCACCGATCTGGTTTCTTCTCAGCCGTCTACCGCGCCGGCCCCCACCCTCCTTCAATGGAACATATGATCTCTCAACCGCCCATGAAAGTCACAAACCAAAACGTTGCCAAGATGCGCCTGTGGCTGGGTCTCAAGTACTGGGATGGCAAGCCTGTCCTCGGCAATGCCAGTCCTATCAGTACGCCGAAGCGTCTTATGACGGCCAACATCAGAGAGCTGGCCAGACTTACGAGGGGGTTCCCAACCAAGTTGGACGGTGGTGTTGTTTCGGGTCTAAATCTCGGAGAATGTCTGTTTGTTTCGACGTCCCAGGGTGTTTTGGAGGTGCGAGAGGCCCTCGCAAAGAAACAGGGTGGTCTGTTAATGTGCAGGGTATCATCATGAGCATGAAGACGAGAAATATTTGCTTGGGTGGTCGGGGGAGCATACGTGCTGTCATGATGCGATAAATAAGCCTGTATTGTACAACTAGATTAAATGTCCTTGCCAGGACTGTTTGTGTATCAAAAATCAATCTCAACGTGGGCGGCTGTCCGTCGCTTTACAAGTATCTTGCTATTCCGCTGTGTTTTGTTTGGTTTTCTTTCTTTTGCGTATCTCCTTTACTGGTATGCGGGAAAATCACCATTCGCCTTCGCTTAAAACAGGTATCTATACAACAGCTCAAAAGTACAAACTCTTCTCCTCAATGGTTAAACCAGCAATCTCATAGCTTCCACCATCTATCCCTGGTTGTAATATGCTGTAACAACGCTTTCCAACTCTCAATTCTTCACTTCCTCCGACTGCTGTCCCGTGGTATCCTTCTCTTCAGTGGCGTTGGTGGCCTCGACGTCGTCCATGTTATCGTTCTCGGTCGCAGTTTCAATCTCAGTGGTTTGCTTCTTGGCGGCCTTCGGCTCAGAGTCCTTCTCCAGCAGAGGAACCACTTCTCGCTTGGTCTCTTGTTCTGGCTCGTTGCCAGAGGCCTCGGCTGTCTCCTCTACTACAACAGGGGGTTGAGAAGAGCTCTTGTCCGCCAAGGGGACGATGGCAGAGTTCTCGGTGGGCTTCTCAGAATCGACAACAGACTCGCCAGGTTGATCGGCGGGAGACTTTTGGGGCGAAGTCTCTGTTTTTTCAGGCGCGGTGATCTCAGAAACTTCTACAGACTTCTCTTCTTGACTAGGCTGGGGAGTGATAGGTCGGGCTGACTCCTGCTTCTCCTCAATTGGTGATTTGACAACCTCTTGAGCCTGACTTTCTCTCTCTGCAGACTCAACAACTTCCTGGGGAGCCTCCTCGGCGGCAGCCGGCTCGGGCTTCGAGTCTTTTCGTGCGTCGTCTGCCTTGGTCTCCTCCGTTGTGCGCTCTGGCTTGGTGTGGCCGGGAGTCTGTTCTTCCGAAACAACTTCAATTATTGGCGCTTCATCTGAAGCTACTGATCCTGCGGAAGGCTTCGACTCAACGGGTTTTCTAGTCTGTTTCCTAGCACTTCCTGGGGTCTTGACACCAAACTCGCGGCGCGAAGGATCGGTTCCTGATGATGAAGATCGTTTCGCTGTCTTCTTTGGTGGTGTGGTGGGCACCTTCTCGGCTGTCTTCGAAGATGAAGCCTGGGTTGGTCGCATCATACGAGCCAAAAAGCCTTCGTCAACGGGTGCTTCCTTCCTGGCATGAGTTGGGTCTGAGGGCTTTTTGGGAGGAGGGCCAAGGCTTGGTCGCGGACGGCCGACATTTGAGGGCTGGCGTTTGACTGTCTTGCCAGTGCTGGCACTGGTTCCTGTTGCACTGGCCCGGCTACCAGGCCGAGCAGGAACGTTGAGGTTTTGCGAGCTTATCGGTTGAGCTTGACGGCCTGTCTTGGCTCCAGATGCCGCAGTTGGCGCCATGAGAGATGCAGGAAGTTGCACAGGTTTCGTGGGAGATTTGGGCTTTGGCTTCACGAAACCAGTATCGCTAGTAGTAGGCTTCAATGGTTGCGGCTTCTTGCTGGCTGTAGTCGCAGCTGGCCGAGTGGCTGTGGAAGTGGCGACTGAAGCTTGTCTGGGTTCCTTCTTAGCTACCGGGACAGTCTTGGCTGTTGGCTTACTCTCAGGTTTATGAGTGGTGCTGGTAGGAGGCTTTGTGGCAGAAGGGGATTTTGCTGGAGGCTTGGTGCTGGCAGCCTTGGTCGAAATGGCACTGGGTCGAGCGGTAGTCGTCTTCTTCGGAGTGGCGGCCTTTACAATTGCTGCAGGAGCCAGCTCCTTAACAGTGCCGACCTTGGGCTTGCCATTAGTGGTTGCGGGAGCTGCGGACACTGCTTCAGGCTTTTTTTCCTTGTTCTCCTTCTTTGGCGAAGCTGGAGCGGGTTCTTCTGGAGCGGGTTCTTCTGGAGCGGGTTCTTCTGGAGCGGGTTCTTCTGGAGCGGGTTCTACAAGAGCAGGCTCTGCTGGCAGCAATGAAGGCAACTCCTCCTCCTTGTCAATTTGCTTGTCTGGGTTGACACTGGGTTCATCGGTAACAGCTCCCATTTGTTCCGTGGGTGTCTTCGGGGGATCAATTGGGAGACGAGGCGATTCGGGAATGTCCTCTTGAAAAAAGGGCTTGTTTCCTCGTGGTGCATCTTCCAGAGATGCAGAGGGTTTATCGGGAACGGTTGAAACGGATTCTGCGTCGGTATCCATGCTTAATCGGCGGCGAGAAACACTGGACTCGTGGCTGGGATCTCTTTGGAGGCCTATCCTTCCGTCCTTCTCAATGGCAACAAAGTTGGTTCTGACTTTTGACAGAGGTCGGGGCGATTCAGATACGACACTGGTGCCTGTTGAGAAATAAAACAGATTTTAGTTAGCAAGGGGTTGAAGGGAGAAGAGAGAAGAATGTAAGGACGCGGCAAGAATGACGCTGGGAGCTAGTGTGGACAGTTCCAGGGCAGGTAGAACCGCAAGTAGATCAAGCTCAAGCTTGCCAACTTTAAAGGTGGCGCGGCGCAGCAACTCTAAAGTGCTTCTTCTACCAGTGAGGAATATCGTACACACTCATTCTTGTCATGGCGTGAATATCGGTCGTACCTTGGACGGGAGTAGAGGCGCCAGACGATCGACCTCTTTCGGGGCTCGTGTCGCCCTTGTTTTCGAACATGGCGCGGAGGTTCTTAACCTGACTCATGGTTACTGAGGACTCTCAGAGCGAAACGAGCCGAGCAGGGTGCGGTTTTGGTCGAGAGACCTCGAGGTCTTTTTGGGTAGGATTCGAGCTGTTCGGCAGGGTTGGAGTTGGACGTGTGTAGGTTGCGGTAGGAACAAACGAAGGACTAGATTAGATGGGATGAGTCGAGGTGTCGTCTGGCTGGTTATGAACGGCGTCGCACAAGGAGACAGGGTTGTACTTTAGGTTACTCCCTGAGGTACATCAGACAGACGGACTCGCTCAGGTCAGGCACAGGCCGTTAGTGGATTGAGGGGCGAGCCGTCAAACAACCTAAGCCCGGACAGCTCAGGGGTGCCTGCTGGAGCTGGCTTAGTGAAGTACTGCAGGAGGCGTTTCAAGGCTCGCTGGATACTCTCCAGTGGATGTACAGTAGCTCTCGGGGGACCAGGATGGTTCGGTAGGTGGAGGTGACGGCGAGGGAGAAGGGTGGAGGGATCAGGCACTGGACTGGACTGACTGTACAGTAGAGCTTCGGCTCTGCTGCGCTGGGCTGTTGCGGATAATAGGGGTCAAGATCATAAAATGGTCTTGGTTATTCTGAATCTACTGGAATAAGATGTAGGATTGAGAACATACGTATGGTCTACATTTGGTGTTCTATCTTACCAGGCAACCCAACAAAGCTCAGCAACCAGCCGATGCATTCCACGTGAATAACGCTTATGATTGCTTGGCAACAAGACGCCAGTTATATCGTGTAATTACCCATGCGACGCTTTCGTCCTCAATGTCGAGTGGTAATAAATAGTTAGTTGCCCGGTGACTTTGGACTGGGTCGGTAATAGACTGATGGAGCCGTGCAAATGGTATGAGCAAGGATCCAATCGAAATGAGGCACTAAATGGATCTCATTCAATTCAGGCTTAGCCAGGGACCAAGTAAATTACCATTGTTAAAGGAAAGTTTGCATTTCCCACCCATCACAACCCAGGGACAGTACTCTATGTAATCAAACAATTGGCCAAGCCTCTTTGTCCGTCGCGGACATCCGCTTTGACAATTGAACGTGAAACAGAAAGGAGCTACGACTGTCTGAAGATTGCTGTACATATGAGAGGAAACCGAATTTAGAACAGAAGCTCAAGCTAGATACCACTGCAGGCTTCCTGAGCAAGAGAATTCGGCACACGAGGAATTAATGAAAGAACACGAAAACCGACCTCACAACCTGGGACGGACTGGCCGTACACTAAGTCAGCAGTCCAGACTACGAATACGCATCCGGACAGAGAGGCACCATACCGTGTCACCTCGTTCTTCTGGTTACCCCTTTTCCATCAGCGCCCAAACTGAGAGCTCCCGCCTGTTCTCATTCACCTCGGCTCTGTGCTCCAGTGATTTCCTCAGTGACCTGCAAGGATTGTTTAAGCAAGATAATTTAACATTGTTCTACCCAAACGTCTAGAAGCTCTACCATCAACTTTGGTTGGGTGAAGCGAGCTTTGATGTTGACGTGGGATTGCATGAGCTTGTGTGGGGATATCTCTGTCTCATGTTGCTCTCTCCCCACATCCACCGATCAAGCTCTTGTCCCAGATAAATTATTACCAGTGGACCATTTTTGCATTCAAGGACTTTTATCGTTGGATTCTTTATGTGGTTCATCAAGTCAAAAGGGAATTGGTCTAGTCTATTCAAATACCTACGTATGTACCTCATGAGACTGATACCAGAGAGCCGATGGTCGGCTTCAAATTGTTCAACCGTATCAAGAGATTTACTAGCAGTAACAAAGCAATGAAGGGTCACATCAGGTATTCAATTGAATTTTTCTTGGTTTACAATGGATATATGAGACTATAGAACCAACCCAATGAATAAGATAGTCTTTCTGGCCATCAATGGAGAGCGTTGAAGCGATCAACATAAACCTTGTCCCCTCTTGGCGCTTTTCGGCCAGGCCACTTTTTACCCGATAACTATCAAAAATCCAGCGGTTCATTTTCTTTACTGTCTCCGGTCTTCGGACGACAAGAACTTGATCTTGTTCTCAACTCCAATTGCGCCCATTATGTCTTTCCGCACTCTCAGAATCGGTACGGCATAGCATCACTGACTCAAGACGAATCTCTAGGTAGCTAATTGTTTTCCCGCTTGCAGGTCTTATCCCTGGTGACGGTATCGGCAAGGAAGTCATTCCTGCTGGTCGCCGCATTCTCGAAGCCCTGCCCTCGTCTCTCGGCCTCAAGTTCGACTTTGTCAACCTCAAGGCTGGCTTCGAGACCTTTGAGCAGACCGGTGCTGCCCTTCCCGACAAGACTGTCGAGGTCCTCAAGAATGAGTGTGATGGTGCGCTCTTTGGAGCCGTGAGCTCTCCTACTCAGGCCGTCAAGGGTTACTCATCACCCATCGTCGCCCTGCGCAAGAAGCTCGATCTCTACGCCAACGTCCGACCTGTCAAAACTGTCATGACCGCCGCTAAGCCTATCGACATGGTCATTGTCCGCGAGAACACCGAGGATCTCTATGTCAAGCAGGAACAGACCCACGACACTCCCGAGGGCAAGGTCGCTGAGGCTATCAAGCGCATTTCCGAGAAGGCTTCGTTCCGAATTGCCACCATGGCTGGTGACATTGCTCTGCGCCGACAGAAGATCCGAGATGCCGGTGCCTCCAGCATCCACAAGTCTCCTCTCGTCACCATTACCCACAAGTCCAACGTCCTGTCCCAGACTGATGGTCTCTTCCGTGCCACCTCCAAAAGGGCCCTTGCCGACCCCAAGTTCTCCTCCGTCTCAGTTGAGGAGCAGATCGTCGATTCCATGGTTTACAAGCTCTTCCGTCAGCCTGAGGACTACGATGTGATTGTCGCCCCCAACCTGTACGGTGACATTCTCTCCGATGGCGCTGCCGCCCTTGTCGGTAGCTTGGGTCTTGTCCCTAGTGCCAACGTTGGTGAGGGCTTCGCTATTGGTGAGCCTTGCCACGGCAGCGCTCCTGATATCCAGGGCCAGAACATCGCCAACCCCATTGCTACTCTCAGATCTACCGCGCTGATGCTCGAGTTCCTCAACGAGGAGGAAGCTGCTGCCAAGATTTACGCTGCTGTTGATGGTAACCTTGAGGATGGTAAGCTGCTCAGCCCTGACTTGGGTGGAAAGGCCACAACTGAGGAGGTTGTTGCCGACATTCTCCGACGTCTGTAAAAGAAAGCGAGGAAAATGATGAATCCCAAAAGTTGGTAGCTGTTTCAGATTTGTCATGTCATTCGGCACTGTCACAATATAGCTAGTATTTAGAAATGGCTCAAAAATTTACGTCAAGACGAACAATCACAGGATGATCTAGAGAGGATTGTATATTGTATACCTTTTATTTGTCCAACTTTTCCAACGCCTTGTATGACAATGGCACCCTCATCCAGATTCTACTACTCATCTATCTGTCGTGGACCTCTAAACCCCTGGTAAGGAGTCGTTGTGACATTATATTACAAGATCATAGACCCGTTCATTTGTATTGTACATTGGCGCAATATGGATTGCGCCTCGGCCATCACATCTCTGATGTGTCTAGCAATTCTCTTCCAAGTCCTGCGACTTGTTTATTTGGTTCGCTTAGCCTCAATCTCAGCCTGGTGCTTGGCGACCAACTCTTTCCTAAACAGCTGTTAGTGATTGTAGCCTCTTACATAAAGGGTTATACATACTGGAGATGAGGGGGGGCGGGAGCGTAGTGGCTGAATTCCATGCTGAACTCGCCCTTGCCCTGGGTAGCGGCACGAAGCTGAGAGCTGAAGCCAAACATAGCATTCAAACTACAGTCGCAGATAAGAGTGAAGTCCTCGCTACCAATGTCGGTATCGTGAATGGTAGCATTACGCTTGTTCATAAGCATCAGAATGTTACCCTGGAACTCGTTGGGGGCAGTGATGGTGGTCTTCATCAGAGGCTCAAGAACCTGGCCGCCCGCTTCGGGAAAAGACTTCTTGAAAGCCATCTGCGTGGCCAGGTTGAAGGCGTGATCGGAGGAATCAGTAACGTGAGTAGCACCATCGTTGACAACCATCTTGGCGCCAATAACCTTGTGGCCCAGAAGAGGACCCTTTTCGCAAACAGCATCGAAACCCTTGGCACAAGCAGACAGAAACTTATCAGGAATATTGCCACCGACGACCTGGCTCTCATAGTGGTTCTTGTCGGGCTCATCATTGGGCTCGATCCATCCAGCAACACGAGCAAAGTCACCCGGACCACCACTCTGTCGCTTGAAAAGGAAATCATAGTCGGCTCGGCGGGCAATAGTCTCTCGGTAGGCAACACGAGGCTGGCCAGTGACACAGTCGGTCTTGTACTCACGTCGCAGACGCTCAACGTAAACTTCGAGATGCAATTCACCCATACCAGAAATGATGGTCTCCTCGCTCTCGGCGTCGACGTGGACACGGAAAGTAGGATCCTCACGCTGGAAACGGTTCATGGCCTTACTGAAGTTGTCGGCATCTCCAGTTCGCTTTGGCTTGATGGAGAGAGACATGACAGCATCGGGGACGAACATGGAAGACATAGTGTAGGGGAGGCCACCGTCAGTGAAAGTGTCACCAGAAGCACAGTCGACACCGAAGACGGCGCAAATCTCACCGGCACCAACCTCGGAGACGTCCTCCATCTCGTTGGAGTGCATGCGGACAATTCGAGGAATTCGAACCTTCTTATCAGTTCGGGAGTTGAAGAGGTAGGTACCCTTGCTCAGCTTGCCCTGGTAGACTCGGATGTAGGTGAGCTGACCGTAGTTGTTCTCCTCGAGCTTGAAGGCAAGACCGACAAAAGGAAGAGAGTCATAGGGGACCAGCTTCACAGTCTTCTCTCCTTGAGACTTATCCAGACCAGTGTTTTCAATCTCGGAGGGGTTAGGCAGGTAGTCACAGACGGCGTCGAGCATGGGCTGGACACCCTTGTCAGCAAGGGCAGAACCCATCATGACAGGAGTGAAAGTTCGAGCAATAGTAGCGCGGCGGATAGCAGCCTTGATCTGAGCATTGGAAGGCTCCTGCTCTTCAAGGAACAATTCGGCAATTTCGTCATCGACATCGGCGAGCTTTTCAATCAAGGCCTGGCGCTTCTCCTTGGCAAACTCCTGGAGCGGGCCAGGAATCTGATCGGTGACGCGAACCTTGGTACCACGGGGACCTTCAAAGTACATAGCCTGCATGTTGATCAAGTCGACAACGCCCAGGAATTCATCTTCGGCACCAATAGGAATCTGAATAGCGGCGGCGGGAATCTTGAGCTTGGTGTTGATCTGCTCGACGGCCTTCCAGGGGTTGGCACCCATTCGGTCCATCTTGTTGACGAAGGAGAGTCGGGGGACATTATAACGTTTCATTTGACGGTCGACGGTGATAGTCTGAGACTGGACGCCAGAAACAGCGCACAGGATCATGACAGCACCGTCGAGGACTCGGAGAGCTCGCTCGACTTCGATAGTGAAATCAATGTGACCGGGTGTATCAATCAGGTTGAAGTGGTAGGTTTCCTCTTTGCCGTTTTCCGTTTTCTTCCAGTCAGCGAACGTAGCCGCAGACTGGATGGTGATGCCTTTTTCCCTTTCGAGTTCCATAGAGTCCATCTTAGCGCCGACAGAGTCTTTGCCTCGAACCTCGTGGATCGAGTTGATTCGGCCGGTATAGAATAAGACTCGTTCACTGACGGTTGTCTTTCCGCTGTCGATATGTGCCTATTAGGTACTTATTAGCAGATGTGAAGAGTTGATGGGGTGTCATGATCATACAGCAATACCAATGTTGCGCACTCGAGATAGACGCTTGGCCTCCTCGGTGGACATGTTTGCAGCGACATATTCAGGCGTCAGACTGGCAGCGTCTTCTTGGGCTTTCTTGAGACTGTTCAGCGGTATAAGTGAGGTGTTTCATAATTAAATGGGGTTTCAATTGAACTCACGCTTCTTGCGCAGCATTGCAGACACGCTTGGTCTGGCTAAAAGCTCGTCGGCACTCCCAGGCGGGGGCAGCAGCAGATATAGTAAAAGAATGGCTACCGCAGCTTGACTGCTGGGCGCCCAGTATCAGACGGCTATTGAGCCATCTGGCAGCCCTTGTTGCCCTCATTGTGCAAACTTGGACTTCAGTGAAGAAGTTGAGGAGAGGGTTGCCAATGAAGGACGGCCCATTAGAAACTTTTTTTCTCTAGAGTCGGGATTAACAGGATGGAGGCGTTGTGCCACGTGCGTCTACGTCTCTGATTTGCTCAGCGCTTAATTCCCGCCAAAAACGGTTCTACACCTCCCTGTAATTTTGGGTGAACCTAAAGCTGGCAGCACAGCAGTTGGCTTTAAAACTTCTATTTCTAACAGCAGGACTTGACGTTTCCAATAAACTCTGTTACAACTGGTACTTCCAAGTGGTGAATATCATTTAGGCTCATTTATGCCATTCTTATAGTGGTATCATGTGCGGTATTCGTCCCATCACCCGTTGCGCCCTTTTGTCCTCATAACCCACGACTCTATCCCGCCGTTAAACGCCAAAATCAGCTCATATCCACATCAACAAACCCTTGAATAACGCCAGCGTCATGAATCCATGGCCTCTAAAAGGAGACGTCTCTCTATGCTATGCTGCCAAAACTCCTGGGACATCATCGTCAAAAAGTATGGAAGATCCCTCCACCTAAAAGTACAAAGCCCATTGTGGCGACAACCATCACCAAGGGCGTTCCAGAGGGTGTCAGATATGATGCTGCGTTATCTTCGTCATCCGAATCCCAGTCTGACTCCTGGAACCCATCCGCAGCAGTGAAGTTATGGCCTGAAACAGAAGGGTTCTCGGTCGCTTTGTGCTGATTTGGCACTGTCGTTGCGGATGGGATGCTTGCTCCATAGCTTTTGAACGCAACTCGTTTTGTTGCCGTAGAGTTGAAGTCGGTGGCAGCAATTCCAACCTCATTGTTGACAAGATCATAGACAACGTAGGCAGATCGAAGAAAAGTGTTTCCAAGTAGGTAAAGGTCGCTGGTATCGTTCTGTATGCCAAAAGAGCACATTGTATGGCCCTTGTAGGGGCCCGACTCAAAAACAGGCATGTTGGCCCTATCGCTGGTCATGGTGAGAACAAGCTCATCCATTCCTACACTGATAACAGGGCCATCAGGGCCAGCAAAGCCAAAGGTGAAATTCCCGTCGTTCTTACCGTAAGCGCAGGGAAGAACAGCAATCCCATAGTATGGTGACCAAACAGCACCGACCTCTTTCCAAATCTCGGTCGCCAAGTCGTGGGGTAGATAGCTCAGTGTGGTTCCAGAGTCGAGGACTGCTTTGATTGGGAAACATTCTGAGGTGAGGATATCACTCCCGCTGGAGCTGGTGGCGACTAGCGAAGTCAGTGCCACTACGAAGTGATAGTAATGGCCATCCAGCGGTTGAATGTCGATTCGATGCATGTCGCCGACATACTTTGCTGTGTCTACGCCTCCAAAGAGAACCGTCCCGGCTTTGGCATCCAAATCGTTGAGCCAAACGCTGTAGGCGATTGTGTTGACATAGCCTGCTTCGTACATTGCGACAGGAAGGTTGGGATAGATGACATCCGTGGTGCTACCTGAAGCCTCATTCTTGGCGTATCCAACACCGATGAGTCCGTAAGAGATGTTTGTCTTTACAGCCAAGCCCATAGTCAAGTTATTGATAACTGCACCGTCCAGTTCAAAGTGATCTTCGAAATAATCGCCCTTGACGTAGCTGTCATCCACAAAGGTGATGCCGAACATGCCGGGTGCAACATGCTTGAAGGACTTGGATTTGTCAGGGTCAACTGGCAAGAATTGTTAGTAACAGAGAATGTCCAACACTAGCAGTGCATGGTCTTACAGCTTCCAAGAGGACATCCGCCTTTCCTATCGTCCTTGTCTGTACATACGTCTGCGCAATTCCAAGGGACCCAGACATCGCTACTCCCAGTATCGAGCTGGAGGGTGATTTTTTGGGGCGGACTTCCGACTGTAACTTCCGTAAAGTAGCCTCCTTCGGATCTGTCATTGCTGATAACTTCCTCGTATGTTGTTTTGGTACGGCGGGCCAGATGTGGTTGAGGATGGCGACCTTCAATGCTCCACTGGACAGTTTGAGCGTACACAAGGCCCCATGTCGAAACCAGTGAAGCGCCCCAGAGCCACGACTTCATTGCAGCCACCAAGGATGAGCAGTTGAAAGCCAGAGAGAGATGAGTTTAGGAATGGCGTTGCAACGGGGTAACGCCACCCTCCTCCATAGGGTGAATGGGCGCGAGGCCTGCCAGCCAGCCAGTATAAAGAAATACAATAAGAAAGAATGTCGTATTGTTCTGCAATTCCAAGTGAGATATGTATGATGCAAAAAGAAGAATTGTAGGGTATCGGGTCAAGCGACGTGTGATGCAGGAGCGCTTCCCAGTTAAGTGAGTTCCAGTCCAGTGGCACTAATGAGGCGTCTGTTAAAGAATGGTTGCGCAATGAACGCAAGGCGCAGGGTACAGGCAGTACAGTATCAAAGACAAGACGTGGGAGGTGGATACTTGGACAAGTACAATGAGGGGGATTCTGGAGAATATAAAAAAAGGACAAGGGTGAGGAATGTAACAAAAAACGAATGAGGATGAGCAATTGGTTGATTAGAAGGTATAGATTGACAGGAGAAATCAGAAATGGATGGTCGAAGTGGAAGAAACGGCACGGGGGGCCACGCAAGCTGTGAGTCGGGACTTTCCTTGTTGGACGACGACTATTACCAACTTGTCAGTAAGTCAGTACCAGCCAGTACTGGTGCAGGTACGGGTACCTTAGTAGCTGGACGTGCTGTGTCTGTTAGTAGGGCAGCAGTTAATAATAGCGCCAAGGCGGATGTCTTGTCAAGTTGTTGACCCTTGCCTTGGCTTAGCTATACTTGACTTGGTCTTTGCCCTGCACTGGAAAAAAGGGTGCATGATTGAAAGAGAGAAATCCCCTTTGCCTTAACCGACCGAGGCAAGACACAAAACATTAGAGAAGGTCCTGCGCATTGCTGACAGCCGTTTTCTGTCTCTGTTCCTCATCACCATCAGATACTTGACTGTACTTGCAGTATCTTAGCAGCTAAATGAATGGGCGGGTACTGACTAGACTGGCTGACCAGGTATAGATGGTCTAGTCGTTTGGGGCTTACGAAGCCTTGTGTTAATTGTTTCGTATGGGCCCAGAAGCACGATCGGAAGCTAAGGGTATCGTGCCCGTCGTTAAAGCTTGCTCCTTTCTCCCTGGTTATCGTCGGACTTCTGCTTGTTGGTATATCTGGTGAGAGAGAAATGCACATCATACACACCTTTGACATCTATTCTAGCGCATAGAACCATTCTTAGTTTACTTATTACATCTCGGTATAGGTACCTACCTCTTACCTGCCAAGATACGAGATTTGTACAGTGGTAAAGTGGTTCGTAAACTCAGATGAGACTGCCAAGAAGTGATCATCAGCGCCATCGAATTAAAGCGCGGTACCTGGCAGATCAATAATTGAGTTTCCCAAAAACAAATGGATAATCCAGCTCATAAAATGGTTAGATTCGACCCTTGTCTTTTCATGCATTTTCTCCCACTTTCCGTATAGCCGTGCGAGCGTTGGACATTAACAGCTGACGACGACGCTTCGGCCAAGTCCAGCTGCAGTGCCGTTGATCCGCGCAGTTGTGCGATGTATGTACTACTAAATCACCGTGGCATGAATATGAATACGGACACGCAAAAATCGACAACGATATGCAAGATTCAGTCGTGCCATTTGCGCAATATGGGTACTAAGTTACTTTGCTACCTATGTACTGACCTTTGCACTTATTAGTCTAGTTACAACAGGTTTAACTCGATATAGGTTCCCAATCACTTCAATCCCTCTGCCAGAACATCAGTCTCACAAACGTATCCCATTCTTACATAGCCTTTGAAGTCCTTGTTGTCACCGAAACACTTTGAACCCGCCACAAGCAACACGTTGTTCTTCCGCAACAGGTCCAAGCAAAAGTTGACGTCGTTAACAGGTTCGCCATTCTTAATGTTAAATCGAACGAAAGCGGTCGTACCGGCTGTAGGTTCCACCCATGAGCATACCGACTTGTAGCCTTCAATAAACTCCTTGACCAGTTGCGAATTGGTTCTCGCCAAATTCAAGTTGCGATCGACGAGAGATGGCGATACTGCTGGCGACAGAGCGTATCTCGCAATTTGGTCGTCGATCTGCGAAACGCTGATGGTGGTGTAGTCTCGTGCCGCCATTATGGTGGACATGATGGATTTATCCCTACTGGCAATCCAACCAAGTCTGATGCCAGCCAGAGCATACCCTTTCGGCATAGATCCTGTCACGATTGACTTCTCGTAGCCCAAGGCCATCGCTGGCTACGGTACTTGGATCTGACCAGATGTTCCTCCATGGAACAGCGGCCGGTAAACCTCATCTGAGAAAATAATCACGTCTTTCTCTTTTGCTATCTAGGCAATGCGGTTCAATACACTGTCCGGAATAGGCACGCCGGTAGGGTTGTTGGGGTTGTTGATTATGATGATCTAGTATTTATTGTAAGTGGCAGTTCTCTCCATATTGCTTTCGTCCGCACCTTTGTGTTGTCTTGGATCAAATTCATCAGGTCATCTGTATTGGGCACGAAGCCTTCTTCTTCTTCTTTCAACTTCCACAACGTGACTTCTGCGCCAATGCTGCGAGGAACATCATATAGTTGCTGGTATGTCGGGTAGACGCAAATGACATGGTCTCCAGGCTCTAGGAGGCTACATCGAAAGACCAATAAGACATTGAAGATGGAACGATTGCGAGCTTTTACTTTACCTATACAAAGCCAAGAAGTTAGCACCGATTGCACCTTGGGTAACAATAATATCCTCAGCGGCAAGTTGAGCGCCCTCGCCACTGCAATGAGCTGCAATTCGTTCCCGCAGTATACGCGAGCCAGGAATACTGCCATAGGTGAGTTTAATGCTTGTATCGATAGGGTCTGAAGTCTGCGTGTCTTTGCACATGCCAACCAAGTCATCTATGGATACAGACGCAGCGCACGTCTCGGCAACGTTCAGGACTCCAGCCGTTGTCTCATAGTTATCCATCCATTGCTCAACAGCAAAGGGGGCGATTTTAACCATCTTTGCGATCTCAGAAAATTACCCTGCGTGTAGATACTTTCGGTTTGCAGTTAAACACTCTGATATCGAGTGGGTGCCTGTAGTTCAAGATTAAGTACTTAAATAATAGGCGGGCTACTGACCCGCCCTGGTGCGCCTTTCCAATGTCGTTCCTCTACTTGACAGTGGACTACTGACCCACCCTGGTACACCCTTCCATGTCTTTCGACGTCCTCTACTGACAGTGGACTATTTTGAATGTCTACCCAGGTTGTCGATTGAGGTTTTTATCTTGCCTGGTCTTGTGTGCTTCGGTTGGCATTTTGATATTCCAGCTTGGCCTCTGAAGTAAGGGATTGTCTGATAACTTAACCATAATATGAATCGTTTGTCTATTTGATCTTCCCCCACAAAGCTTGATTGTGTTTATTAGGCTAATCGACAGGGATAAAATCCGGGGAAGAACGCAACTACTGTCTGCCTATGTACATGATTAACTGGGTTTGGTCCATGCTATTCATGGTTATCATACTTAGGGTATGAGCTGCCATTCTGCTATATCACCGCTATCGTTTGTTGATACTTGGGTATAAAGCACGAAAATGCGGGCTATGATGGCGAGTATTGTTCCACCAAGCTGTCGCCATGTGATTCAGAATTTCGACCAGGCTTTTAATGATGTGGATGTAATCAATCAAACTAAGCTCAGAAACAAGCAGTATATGTGTACCCTGATAACGTTTAGAGCGGTTTGCTTTCATATCGCAGTCACTTGTTGGTGCATGTGTAAAGATATAGTGTACATCGTTTGAGAGCCTTACAAGACAGTCTCAGTTATGGAACATTCCAGCACTTGACTAGGTTATACGATTTTTTTTATAGCAATGTTCCTTATCAATTAATATAAGGAAGGCATTAGTTGCATATAGGTAAACATATTATACATCAACATGAGCATGAGCATCAAGTTTAGGGTAGCGGTGTTGAGAGACAAATAAAGTTTTAAGTTTGCCCGACCAGGAACAATAGCAAAACCATTGACGTTACATGCGGGAATTTTAGGTTGCTACTTGGAAAACAGCGAATCATGGGTTATCATTGACAGAGTCATGATCATGAGAAGTTCATGTACCTTAGACAATTTCTTAGTACATACTGCATGATAATGTCTAAATGCTACTATCTTATCGTGCTTAAAATGGAGAAACGCGCCGAGATCAATGACGTCAGCCTCATTTGAAACTTGACCACCTACCTGCACGTGATTTCACCTCATGATAAGAGTATAATATCATTTCGAATCTATCAAATAAAGAGACTCGCCATCAAGACAATATGTTACGTGGGTGAAACAGCGACTTCCATTGGCCTGTGCATGCTTGAAAGTTGAAGCTGTCATAGTTTCATGGTGCTGGTTGCTAAAGATACACTGGACCATATCGAGTCATGAGACCCATAGTTAGTGGCTGTGCCAACCAATCACGAATATAGCCTTTGACATCTGGCCGATGTTGGGGACCGACGCACCCTCCGTACCTGCCTCCAGTTGCCTAAATGGCAGTGGAACGCGGGGGCGCCACTCCTCGGCCAAACAGCTTATCCTTGTCGCGCTGATACGGAGAGGTGCTCGTTACTTAGCCGGCCATCGTTTAACGACTGACCGGGCTTCACCTCCCATCAACATCCATTGTTCCATCACCAAAACTGCATCATCCTCGTATCGCTGCAGTTATGGCTCCTACATTAAGGAGCCTCCTGATAGGTGCTGTGGCCCTTTGGCCTGGCGTCGCGATGGCCTCACACAACGCAACCTACTCGCAGGCCGATCAACTACGCGCACAGTTAGCTCTGATGGGCGATCGTCCAGACGGTTGTCCTCCATGGTGTGTTATTACACTGCCATCGATACAAGCACAATTCTTTTTGCTGACCTGAACATAGCTTTAATTGTCTCCTCCCAGCACACACATGTGCGCAATACGCCGGCTGTAACGAGTTTAATGGGAAATGCGCTTGTCCTGAGGGATTTGGCGGTGACGACTGTCTTGAGCCACGTACGATCGCCCTCTATCCTCCTGATATATACGGAACATAGACTGATCATTTTGATAGTATGCGGCTCACTCCCCAAAGGAAAGGATCGCCCAATGCGTTCGGGCTCAACATGCGAATGCGACGAGGGTTGGACCGGCATTAACTGCAATGTCTGTACAGACAACAAAGCCTGCAACGCTCTCATGGAGAAAGGTGAAGGTGGTGTATGTTATCAAAACGGAGAAGTCGTAAACCATAACTACCAGATTTGCGATGTCACGAACCAGAAGATTACATCTTTGCTTGGCAAACAACGCCCAGAGGTCACGTTTACTTGTAAACAAGAAGACCAGACATGCGACTTTCAATGTCAGTTCCACATTCCGCCTCGTTCGCTATGAGCTCTGCTAATGTATGCTTCAGTTTGGGTTGATGCCGTCGAGTCTTTCTACTGTCACCTTTCCGAATGTGACTCGTCCGCCGATTGGGAGGAGACCAAGAACACCACTTCCTACAAATGCAACAAGATCAGCTGCAGCTGCATTCCTGACAGGATGCTCTGTGGTAAGGATGGATCGATTGATCTTACCGATTTCCTCGATCAGTCTATTCAAGGCCCAGGTCGGTTTGAGTGTACTCAGAAACATGGTGGCACCCATGACTGCGCATTCAAAGAACCTGAGATGGATGCGTTGATTCTCGCATTGATCGGCGATTCCAGCATCTTCCTCGACTGTCACGCTGGCGAGTGCCTCTACGAGACAGAGGTACCAGGATGGAAGCGACCCGTGAAAAAGATTAACACACCCCTTATTGCTGGCGTCATCGCTGGTTGCTCGTTGTTTCTGGTTGCTGTCATCATCCTGACGTGGTACCTGTCGAGGCGAAAGTTGAACCATGGGGCGATTCGCTTGGAGGACTCCGACGACGAGAGCACCAAATTGATGGCTGATCACAAGCCTGCCTCACTCTACTTCGACGACGTCGCTTATAATCTCAATGGTAAACAGATTCTCACAGGAATCCGTGGTATTTGCAAACCGGGAGAAGTAACTGCCATCATGGGTGCTTCTGGAGCAGGAAAAACGACATTCCTCGACATACTCGCCCGAAAGAATAAGCGCGGACAGGTTCATGGTAATTTCTATGTCAACGGAGAAAAGGTCGACGATGGCGACTACAAGAATGTTGTTGGATTCGTGGATCAGGAGGATACTATGCTCCCTACTCTTACCGTTCATGAAACGATTCTTACCAGTGCCCTACTTCGACTTCCCCGCGACATGGGACGTGCTGCCAAGGAGCAACGAGTACTCGAGGTCGAGAAGGAACTTGGCATTCACCACATTCGTGACTCCCTTATCGGTTCTGAAGAAGGCAAGGGCCGTGGTATCTCGGGTGGTGAGAAGAGACGTGTTGGAATTGCCTGCGAACTGGTGACCAGCCCCTCGATCTTGTTCCTGGATGAACCCACCAGTGGCCTCGATGCCTACAACGCCTACAACGTTATTGAGTGTCTTGTGACTCTTGCGAAGACTTACAAGCGCACCGTCATCTTCACAATCCACCAGCCGCGCTCCAATATTGTTGCTCTTTTCGACAGACTGGTGCTGTTGGCGCAAGGACGAACTGTTTATTCAGGCCCATTTAACCAATGCCAGAGCTACTTTGACGAAATCGGCTACGAATGTCCTCCTGGATTCAATATCGCAGATTATCTTGTCGATCTTACCATGCATGCTAGTAGTACCCAGTCGATTGACGACGGAACTGTCGGCCTCGACAGCAGTAGTGTTGGCCCCAGCAGCACTCGTGCAATCAAGTCTGTTGCAAGCATTTCTGGTACCACCTCTGGAGACGACGATGCTAGCTCAAGGAGACCCAAGAATCACCGTAGACATTCTGTCAAGGTTCGCCAGGAGCGTCAGCTGTTTACTCGCAGAAAGACTGTCGATACGGCAGCGTCCTCAGATGCTGGTGGCGAGGACAATGGCGCCTACCGACTTCATCAGAACCCTGTTGACTCTCTAACTGCCCCTCTTCTTGAGGACCCTCACGACCTGCCTCCAGCAGCTGCCACTGGAACCGATCTCGACATCATGACTCAGTCATTCATTCACTCAGAGATCGCCCGCTCAACTCATGAAGAGATCCAGCAAGCCATCCACACCGCAGAGAACGCCAACGGCACCAATTCAAATGGCTATACCACCGAGGGGCCGAATATTCATGTCAGTGCTGTAGGAAAAGGATATGCTCGTGTCGGATACCTTCGCCAGTTCATCATTTTGTCTGAGAGGACATGGAAAAACCTGTACCGAAATCCAATGCTCATGCTCACCCACTACGCTATTGCCATCGTCTTGGCTGTTTTCTCGGGTTATCTCTTCTATGGACTCACTGATGATATCCCTGGCTTCCAAAACCGACTTGGTCTCTTCTTTTTCTTACTCGCGCTCTTTGGGTTCAGCACCCTCACGAGTCTCAATGTTTTCGCCACCGAACGTCTCCTTTTTGTTCGAGAGCGTGCTAATGGCTATTATGCACCTGCCACGTACTTTGCGGCCAAGGTACTTTTCGACATTATTCCTCTTCGGATCATTCCCCCGATCCTCATGGGCTCCATCATATATCCCATGACAGGACTGGTAGCCGACTCGACGCATTTCTTCAACTTCATCCTCGTGCTAGTATTGTTCAATATGGCTGCAGCCGCTGTGTGCCTATTCATCGGCATTGTTTGTAAGGATGGCAGCGTGGCAAACCTGATTGGCAGTCTCGTTATGCTCTTCAGTCTTCTTTTTGCCGGTTTCCTGCTCAATCACAAGGCTACTCCAAAGGGCGCGCTCTGGCTCCAGACGCTATCCATATTCCACTACGGCTTTGAATCACTTATTGTGAATGAGGTTCTTCATCTTACTCTTGTGGACAGCAAGTACGGCCTCGACATTACTGTCCCCGGCGCAGCAATCCTTAGCTCTTTTGGATTCAACAATGACGCCATGTGGCCTGACATTAGAAACCTGGGAATATTCGCTGCTATATTCATCGTCTTGTCTTATGCTGCTATGCACATTCTGCTTGTTGAAAGACGATAGACAGTACAATTGGATTTGGAGCATCATCGAGGACGTTGTATATATTGAGAGATGAAGGAGGCTATTGCTGTACTTCGCAGTGGTGCACGTGGGTATATGTTGAGCTGAACACTACTGGCGTTGGACTATGTATATGTTTTCCCCTGTCGTTTATGAGTAATTGTTGTGTCGATTTTCAGATTAGCTAGCCAAGACATGTGGGAATACCACATCAATTTAGAAACACTTGGAATTCGTTCAGACGTCGTTTTGGCCGCTTCAAAATGTGATGTTTGGAATAGTTACAGTAATACATGGGATACAAAATATTGTACAAGCCATTAGGTATAGTTTACTCCATCTTGCCACCAGTAAACTCCTCGGCAATTCTCTTCTGTCGCTTCACGGAGCGATCATACTCGGTTTCATAAAAGTCCATAATCTTCGTAGACACACCAGTCGTGGTTTCCAACATGTCGTTGATTGAGGTTGGCTTGCCCCATACGTCCCATGTGTTTTCGGCGGAGCCATATCGACCAACATCGAATCCTTGCTTGTGGAAGAAGTCCTCGGCGAAAATTGTGTCAATCTCAGCCTTGAGCTCACTCTCGCTAACTATGAACTTGGATGCATTTATGTAGAGCTCCATCAACGCATCTCGGCGAGCCTCGAATTTTGCTGACATATTTTGTTCATTATTGGCACGGCTCCTTTCTGCACGTTCGAAACGCCCAGGATCAACACTCGTTTTGGTATCTAGCACACCTTTTAACACTGTGCTCCGGGTGAGGACGTCGTCCGCTCGTTCGGGTGCCTTGACAGCCTCGTGGTTCTTCTCGAACTTGTGGCTTACACGCTCGTTGTGCAACTTTATGCGGGAGTTTCGTCGCTGCCAAAGGTCTTTTAGACCATCGCCAAGATTCATTCGACGAGTTTTTGCCATAGTTTTCCTCCATTTTTGACTATCGTTTATGGGCTTCCGATAGTCAGATGGTCGTGGAGCGGTCTTAATGAGATAGTCAAGCCCAGCCTTGCTTTCGCCCCCAACGCGGGGGAAGACCTCGCGGGGCACTGGAAGATGACCTCTGACGCGAGGAAGCTTCTTTTCGTCGGACTGGGGTGGTGTAGGCAAACGGATGTATGATGGAGACTCTGGAGGGACTTGTTCGAGAGTAGCAGCCGAAGTCGAAAAGGCTCTCGAAGCTGTGAGGAGCTGGCGGGCAGCCACCCTTGAGCCGGAAGTTGCGAGGCCAAAAGACATCGTGAAAGGAGCCAGCGCCGAGTTTAGCGCTGAAGTGCTCAGACTGGGATTGCAATTGAGGTTGTGACCCTGTCGTTGAATCCGCTTCTCGACTTTTACTTCAACGACCAACAGAGAAAATCGACGTCGGATCAAATCTGCCGGATTATCTTGGTCCGACGCCTAACGCCGGCCCCTTGCCATTTAGCCCCGCCACCAGCCACCGAGGGAAGTAAGTGGGGCTCATTTTCGCTACTAAGAACAGAGAAAAAAAGTTCAAATAAATTTCTGGATCACCCATCTTCTCTTTTCACATTTGTCGCCAGTATCCTCGACCAATTTTTTCACCATGGGTACTGGAAAGAAAGAGGCCACTCGGCGCGAGCGCCAAGGCAAAGGAGGAGATGGTCTTAACAATGTCAAGACCAAGGGCGAGAACTTCTATCGGTAAGTGCATTGCATTGCTGTTGATTGTAACCGCTGGCCAAGCAAGGCTGACCATTACCACAGCGATGCGAAAAAGGTGAAGCACCTTAACATGGTTCGCGATGGAGGAAAAGTCCAGAGAAACGCCATTGGAGAGATCACCAAGGCTGCCTCATACCAGTCGCGCGACATCCCCAACGCTCGTATCGAGCCGAACCGCAAGTGGTTTACAAACACTCGGGTCATCTCCCAGGACTCTCTAAACGCCTTTCGCGAGGCAATGGATGAGCAAGCTCGTGATCCATACCAGGTTCTGCTGAAGACAAACAAGCTGCCCATGAGCCTTATCAAGGATGGGAAGGATACTCAGAATGGAATCAAACAGCACAAGGCCAAGATGACCGTCGAGACGTCACCATTCGCTGAGGTCTTCGGTCCCAAGGCGCAACGTAAGCGAGTCAAGCTTGGTGTCAGCAGTCTGGATGACATGGTCGGCGATACCGAGAAGAGTATGGACACCTATCGGGATCGTCTGGAGCAACAGAAGCTTCTATCCGGCGCCTCTGGTGACGCTGAGGATCCGGATGACGCTGGCAAGCCCCTCACCATGTCCATTGAGCCTGTTTTCGACAAGGGACAAAGCAAGCGAATCTGGAACGAACTCTACAAGGTCATTGACTCTTCAGATGTGATCATTCACGTACTCGATGTCCGAGATCCTATCGGAACTCGTTGCTTAAGCGTCGAGAAGTACCTGAAGGATGAATGCCCGCATAAATCCCTCATATATTTACTTAACAAAGTGGACTTGGTTCCTACGAGTGTAGCGGTAAGTTCATCCTTTCTCCCTTTAGCATCTTTTGCATATGCCCCTTATACGCCCCATATACCCCAATGTTCTTTGTCAGGATTCGTTCCCTTATGTACCATGGAACCTGTCTGTTATAACGTTGGGAGAATAATTGCCTGTCTCGACTGTCGTCAACGTTTTGTTGTTAGGCTGATGTGTGCCGTTTTGGTTACCATCATGAGACAGGCCAAGTGTCCGATTGAGTTGAAGTCTGCCTATGCCATTTACCAATTACGGGGCATCGATTGCATACTTCTTAGTGATGACACAAACATATCATACCTTTGAACACTTATCTTGTATATTATGGGTTCAAATACTAACTCGATGTAGGCTGCGTGGGTTCGCACTCTCTCCAAAGAGCACCCTACTCTTGCATTCCACGCCTCAATCAATAACTCTTTCGGAAAGGGCTCACTCATTCAACTACTCCGACAATTTTCCTCACTACATTCTGACCGAAAACAAATTTCTGTCGGATTGATTGGTGGTCCCAACACTGGAAAATCCTCTATCATCAACACCCTGATGAAGAAGAAGGTTTGCACTGTTGCACCTATCCCTGGTGAGACCAAAGTATGGCAATATATCAGTTTGATGAAGCGCATTTACCTGATTGATTGCCCTGGTATCGTTCCTCCCTCGAGCACTGATACCCCGACAGATTTGGTGCTGCGGGGTGTCGTTCGAGTCGAGAAGGTCGAACATCCTGAGCAATACATTCAACCCCTTCTAAACCGTGTCAAGCAACACCATATGGAGAAGACCTATGAGCTCAAGGGATGGACAAACTCTACAGAGTTCCTGGAGCTTCTCGCACGAAAGGCTGGCCGTCTTCTCCGTGGAGGCGAACCTGATCTGGATGGTGTGGCTAAAATGGTCCTCAATGATTTCATGCGAGGCAAGATTCCCTGGTTCACGCCTCCGCCAAAATCTGAAGGCGAAGATGACACAAAGGTTGGGAATCGTGAGGGTAGACTTGGAGAGATGCCCCGCAAGCGAAAGCAAGAGGAGACTGTGGATGATGAAGATGCTTCTGCTGAGGCACAGCTTCAGCAAGAGGCCGAAGCCGCTCTCGAGAAGGCCGGGGGCGTGAGCTCTGGTGCTGATGAAGAGTCAGATTTTGAAGGGTTCGGCAGTGACACAGAAGAAGCACGATCAAGAAAACCGTCTTTTGGAGCCACAGTGGAAGGCGAGAGCGAAGGCGAGAGCGCTGAAGACGATGTGATATCGGTAGGCGGCTCTGAAGAAGTACAGGAGGCCGAGGAAGAGGCGCAAAAGGCGCCTGCACCAACAGCTAAAAGTAAAGGAAAGAAGACAAAGGGTGGCCCGCCTAGTAAAAAAAGGAGGGCATAATCGGTCTGGAGTCAGCAAATCTCTACATTCATCTGAGGTACCTGCTTAAGCATCCTCAATAACTTAATGATACCCACGTTAATGTTTTCGTACCCTTGAATCTACTTTAGTGTGTTGTGTATTAATGCCATCCTTACTACTACCATTATAACGATTAGTCATGAGCTTTCTCCCTCTTCTCACTGGGTACTGAGATTGAAATGAGATTGGCCTCACGGATATACCTAGGTAGGGTAGGGAGGGGTACAGTCCGGCATCTTTTATGTTTATGCAGTAATGGTTTCGAATTGAAGAATGTAACGATTAAGTACATGAGGCTTATCTGCAGATCTGCACTGTTAATTATAATGCTCAAACTGTCTAGCTGTTATTGAAGTTATTCCAAGCAATATATATAAACTAGTGTTAATAGCAAGTACTTAGGTAGATGCAGACAGCAGTACACTTCAGTAGGAATACGACACAAAAATAATATTATTACTGGAAGATATGCCTCCACACAGGATTGAACTATGGACCTTTGCATTACAAGTGCAACGCTCTACCACTGAGCTATAAAGGCGTATTTAAAGCAGCGGCCTCGTTCATGTCTCTATACACTCACGAAGATCAGCATAAAGCAAAACGCAAAAAGTAAAATTTTAATGCCCCCGCACTGGATTGAACAATGGACCTTTGCATTACAAGTGCAACGCTCTACCACTGAGCTACAAGGGCGCTTATTATACATTTTTCTTGTTTTGAAACCCATATACTTACACCAAAAACAAATCTCCTTCTTGGGGTAAAACTTACTACGTCCAAGCATCGTATTCTCATACTTTAGGTGTTCCTGACAAAGAATGCGAATTTCTCATTGCCTTAAAAGCTTCTTCCTATCACTTCACGGAGTACCCATTTACTTATTAGTCGCATATATGCCGACATGTTTATTTTCACAGAACCTGTCCCAAGAGCCTTCAATACGCACAACTGACATAGACCGTTGTGTAGCTATATTGCGCAGCTTACGATGATGTACCCTTTAAAGGAGAATCTGGGGACAGGGACGGCTGAACTCAACAGGTGGTTGACGGCAAAAGTTAGCTCAAGTGAAGTTTGAGCAGTTATGGTTTCTGATATGTCCAAACAAAGGCCAAACCTTTCATGCATAGTTTATCGCACGCTCTGACCAAGCAAATCGTGAAGTAACTTCCAAGCGTCTTCGACTCGTTGTGGGATATCGACATGCACAATCGACCCTTTGCCTCGTGGCCCATACCCATCTTCATCATCTCTCATTCGAGGGATTTCTCCTACCAGTAGAGACATGAGCCGGTCCATGCTCCAAAGGTTAGTCTTGCGATTATCCTCGAAACCTGAGAAATCATAGGACAGGATTGACGTGAGGCTCCCAGCCTTTTCTAGTGGTGGAGAATCCGCAGGTGCCACTTTTGGTACAAATGTTGGCCAGCTACTGACTGTGGGAGTCTCGTCGGCTTTATCAGCATAGACTTGCTCAAATGCAGCAATGGTGCGCCGACACATAGTTGGATCCTGGGCAACCACAATGGAAAGCGGTGATGTGTAACCGTTGGCGTCTAGTACCTTTCTCGCGTTCACGGCATTGAGTGCACAATTAGTCGATGTGTCTTCAACCAAAACCGTGAGCCTCTCTCTTTTGTCGGTTTCGATGGAAGCTTGGGTGCCACGATTGACCCTCAATTTCCAGAATTGTTCTGCGATAGTCTCGAGCATACGAGCCTCCGGTAGCATGCGGACCCGATCAGCAATGCGGCTATACTTGGGATGATGAGCTATAGCATCATACATCAACTGGGTTGAGTGGCCAATGCCACCGCAGAGAACGAGTACGAGTGATCCAGACTCTATTCAGGGCTTAGTATATTTGATAGCTTTGGTAACTGGATGTTATATCACTTATCAATCACTTACGAGTCGTCTCAATTAGCTCTTTTACCATTGAAAAGACTTTCTCTGACGTGGAAAGGACTGCGGAAGGACACAGCACTACCACGCCAGTGCGACTTGCATCTGGCTGAAGAGATCCTTGTTTCCGAGCGACAAGGGGTTCGAACAAAGCATCACGTAGATCCGAGAGAGTGTGTATTTGCTCATGAGCTACAAACTCTGAGACAATGTTGGCAGCCGATGCTACTTGCAATGCAGTTTCTCGAGAGATGTCCATGCTGTCATTTCTCAAGACCGTAACTGCAAGTTTCAAGTTCTAAATATCTCAACGTAGGTAAGCTATGATAGGCTACTGAAGCGGAACATCCGGAGACGGAATATCCAGACGGCGAAAGATGCATCAACGTTGCGCAACTCACAAATGCAATTTGCCTTGGAGAACCAGATGTTGCATTCGTGTTAGCACCAAAACTGGTAAATGAGTACGTAGAATTTGAAAATTCAAAGACTAAGCTACTATTATTATAGCTTTGTTACATACCGGAACTAGAGGGAATAAGATAGTTCGCAAGTTGAGGGGGCTGAGAAGGACCATTCCTAGCATATGCCTTGTGAGAACAATACTATCGATCAATACGATTAATATCGTAACTTGAAGATTTGTTCATACATATATATCATGGGATTGGAGTTGTTAATTCGCCGTTTAGATGCCTTCTGTCGTAGGTGAAGCCCCTATTCACCATTCAGAGTGGCCTGGATGCCGAGCCTACCTCTTACATGATGTCAGTAAAAATGCGATGACTACTCTAAGCACTAACCAGTACATACTAAGTAGATGATCTCAGTCAATCTATAAATACGTTAGTTCATTTATGAGGGCTTGAAACCTTAAGGGTATTGCCACTTGAGTTGCAAAACGAACTTGCCTGTTCAACAGGGCTAAGTCACTACAATTGTGGTATCGACAGCTGTCTTTTTAGTAATGAAGCCAATATGCCTAACCAATAATCTAGTACCCAAGTTCCGGCCTATTGGAAGCTTGACTGCTCATAAAAATGTTGGGTTGCTGGGCGGTGTTATTGTTGAGTGTTTCGATAAACCTCAAGGCAAGTGCAGACAACTGTCACTGCCACTGCCACCATCACCCATACTTTACCATCATTTTGAACTCACCAGATCAGACGATTATTGCCATATTATTGGTCCATAATAATTTATCGAACTTGTAACTGATCACTACATCACTCCTGCTCGTCCCGCCCGTTACCTTGTCCAGTATTTGTTTTCCTACGCTTCGTCCCCTGAAATTAAACCTCAATCTCGACTTAAACCTCAGCATTAACATTGACCTCTTGAACCTGAATTTACTACCTAGGTACACCATTTTTACTTTCAGCCCCGAGCAGAGTTAGAAATGAGTACCACCGCCGCCGCAACCGAAGAAAAAGTGCTTTCGCGCTCTAGGTCAACATCCCGACCCAAGACTAGAGTGAGCATCGCAAGCCGATTTGCCCGCGCATCCCCCGACCCTCTTTGCGAAGATATACACAGAGCCCCATCTTCTGAGCAGGTGCGCACCATGACACAATATCAACACTGCAGCGACATTCACTTACCGTCTCGAAGAAGGACAACGTCACCCATAGTCAGAGAACCAACAGGTTGACAGTCAATAGCGGCAGTGAAGCTCCTTAGGGTGTGCATAAACTTGTTTCTGTTAATGTCGAAGGAAATGAGACTGATGAGAGCTTACAGGAGGAGTGTCAAGCCGCCCCCTCCCAGAAAAGATTGAGGACAGTATCACAGTTACCACCAATTCCTCTATGGTTCTCACGACGATCACAACCGACCACTTGAGTCTAGATGCGTATACGGGCACCGCGAGACTTGCTCTTCAGCGTCCCAAGGCACCGAACAGGCGACACTCTGCCAAGCCGAAACACGAAGATGAGGATCCGATCTACGACCTCATGGCTCTCCCCCAGCCAACTCATGTGCCGGCCGTCGCGCCATCATCCTGCAAGCCACCCTACGATCTCTCACCCAACGCCCTCGCTGGTAACCAAAACCGCGTCGAGCGTCGAGGGCGCCCTCGTCTTGATTCAAGCCAAACCAAAAACTCCGAGCAAGACAAACAAAAAGACCTGGACGTTGTCAAGAACGCCCGAGCATCCAAGAAGTCTACCATCCGAGGGAAGCGGGCGGAGAAACAAGCATGTAGTAGTACAAACAACGGGAACCCCATCAATCATGGCCTCTTCGACCTTGATATTGCAAATCAGATGATTCCATACTGCAGCCCGGATCTGATAACTACATGTCCCAAACCACCGACACCAGCTGGAATGTGTGATTCGAAAACATACCTCTCCTACCAGATCGATATAGCTCGCCATCTGGCCTACAATGGCGTCTCCGGGCCATATCGGGTTGGCGAATACCTTTGCGACCTCTACCTTGCAGATGCGAAGTTTATCAAGATCGCTAGCCTTAACATTGACACTTATGGTCAATCATTCTGGTGCCATACGATGACAGGAGAGCGGGTACACTCGCAGGATGGATCAAAGGTGGCAGGCAAGCCTGTCACAATGGCTAACGGAGCGCTGGTCTGGATGGAGGACGAAAAGGGAAATACCATACCCCCTGAGTGGTCATTCACTGAGCCTCACGACTTGTTCTTCGAGCCTCAAGTCATCGAGTTTCCCTCAACCGTGCCACTGCAGCAGCGGTATCCTGGCCTCCGGTCTGGTAACAACCCCACGTTGTTGTAATCAATGATGGCTTTCTGTGCAGAGAAAGAGTTGGCTATTATTGTCGGATCGATCCCTGTGTGTGAACTCAATTGAGCTTCCTTTCGGCCCGTACGTAGGCGGTTGTTTTGAGGTCGGGATCAGAGGCTGTTTTGGATTTCTACAACCTTGGCATTGTCTTTGTTTGACTTGATTTACAAGCGAAAGATACCCATGTATTCTATATTAGGACAAGCATTGTAGCTTTGGTATCGGAAATAGTGCCATCTGCTGATGTCACCTTGATTGTTCATGGTGTTTGCTGTTTAAGAGGATAGATGTTGGGAAATAGCTGTAATGATGGTGCTTTGATGAGCCGTACATTCTCAGGCTTTGGTAGGAAAGTTCATTCCACGGTTTAAGATACCAGATTAATAAAAACATGGAAATGTAATAAAGTGAGTAAAGTGGTTTCCTCCTTAATTGTTTGCATGGATTGATGATTACCTACGGAAGAATTCCGCACCGATAACTGGATATCGATAACATCATCGAAAGGCCCGCCACTGGTGCTCGGAACCTTTGGCTTGACCATCGTTGATCCTTCCATTGCGCCGTGTATTATTAGCTTCTGGCATCCCTATTTCGCAAACTAAAAATGGGCTCGTCGTCCTCTAAAGTCGCCAGAGGCGCAGCGCGAAAGTATCCTGCTCGAGCACCGGGAGCTGCAGTTCCCGAGGCAGTAGCTCGCCAACCAAGGGCAGAAGTCCCCAAAGCCCAGTCCAAGACTCTAGGGAGCAGCGAAAAAGATGAAGGTTGGTAGATTGGATTATTTCGTCACACGGCCATTTCCACTGACTAATTCTCGCAGCTATTCGAGCTGATGCTACAGACCCAGATTTCCCTACTGGCGACTTCTCGCGCCGTCTACACCAGATGGGCATTGCCGATTCGAACCCTACCTACTCACCCTCGTCTACTGCTGCGACACCCCTCGGACCAACGGCGCCTTCGGGTCCTCACTTTGCGCCGAGTCGAAACAACCCAACGCTTGTTGCGCTTGGAGCTCGAGACCGACTACAAGACGAGGCGGAGGAAGATTTCGCAAACATGGGACGTGGTGGCCGACGCCTCCTCGACATGAGGACAATGGTAGATGCTATGAAGTTTCGTGATCGAGGTATCCCCGAAAAGGATATTGAGGCGAAACTACGGATACAGCCTGGGCTATTGAGTAAGCTTGGCCAGAAAAAGACGTTCTCGCATGTGACAAGTCCCAATTGAAGGATATCCGTGAGAGTAATGGAGTTTTGGGTTGCATGGGGGCTCAAAAATGCACAAATAGCTTTGAAGGCTTGTACAAAACAAAGAAACAGTCATGGCCCGGCCGCGCAGGTCGAGGCCAATATTAAAAGATACTTGAACGATATGCATCGCGGTGCTTCAGGTTAATTGCATAGAAGAAGGTTTTAATCGCACACCATCATAGGCAAAACATTGCCTTGTTATGACCCCGACGCATTCGCAAGTGAATCAGGATATCCCCGGTCCTGGACCATGGCATTCCTTATTACTATAACCAAAATTCACTTAAGATCGAAGTTAATGTTGCATACACTTCATAAATAGGACATGAATCTTTCAATTTCGCAAGGGTTTGGTGTCGAAGTACCATGAGAGCTAAAACAATTTGCCTATAGTCTGAAAATGAGATACATCAACGCCTTCTACCAAACGTACAAACATTACACGTGAAATTATGCTGCTATGCTTCGTCTTGTTCCGTTGCCTACATCCTCTGAGGCCAGCTCGAATCGAGCCCTTCGCCAACCGCCAATACTATTGTAATGATGAATAAAACAACAAAGATATGATACACCTTACCAAAACTGCAAGGCCCGATCCAGTGTCTCCCCTTTTAAAAGTTGCCTTTCTTCCAGTCTTATTTTTCAGTCCCTCTTCCGTGGCATATGTAGCTGGAGCCTGCTCATACGCTGTCAATCCACTGGTATACAGTGACCAGGGTAGTGTACACCATGGCGATGAAGCCAACAACCATGACGATGACGTCGATAACTTTGGCCCTCGTGGTTTGGGCTGCTCCCTTGTAGTGCAACAGGGCAGGGTAGATGTAGACCAGAGGGACACAAGCAAAGCTTCCAATCAATGCCACAAACTTGTCCAAATCACTGGCGCCAAGGATACTGACACCTACGCACACACCTGCAATGAAAGTTCTGAGAGCATTCTTCTTCCACTTGATCGCAATGCTCTTCTTGCCAGTCGCCCGCTCTCCGAAGATGGATGTCTCAATGATACGAGCAGCCGGGAACAGCTGAACTGGGTCTCCTGCCAGGACCGCAATGGAATAAAGAAATTGGACAGCATTAACGAGGGGAGAATCCTGGGGGAAGTTGGAGATGACCTGAATCTTGGTATCCTCACCGAACGTCGCGTAGCAGAGCGCTCCAACTGATGTAAAAATAATAGTGATGATGAACATGACCAAATAGAGGAGGCCTGGGAAGTGTTCCGGTCTCTTCATGCTTGACTGAATGGGCAAAATAAGTCCGATGCCTTCAAAGGTGAAGATTCCCGAGCCGACGGTCAAAGTAAAATCTTTGGGGTTAAACAGCTTCACGGTTGAGTCCATGCCATGCTGGGAGAGTGCAGCAATGTCATAGTACCAGATGTAGACAATGCCAATTAGGATAAAAACATCAGCAAGAAGGGCAGCAGGTCCAAGCTTGGAGATGTTTCGAATTAGTGCAAGGGGAACAAGAGCGACCAACTGGAGAGCAATCAAACTGGGCACACTGAACATCAGCTCGCGATGATTGGCGGTCACAGCGTCAAGAAAGGCATAGAGATTCTCGGCCGTGAAGATGAGACCGGCACAGACGAATCCAAGCTGGGAGATGGCAATTGAGGCAAGAACCAGACTTCTGAACCGGGGACCAATGATGGCCTCGCCAAGTTCTCCGTAACCACCTCCGTAGATCTGACGGCAGTCAAGAAGGAGCCGAAAGCATCCGCAATTGACCAAAGAAAGCACAATTAGTGTGATTGACGAAAACAAAATTCCACCATTGCGAAAGGCTTTGGGCAGGAACATGATTCCGGTTCCAATGAAAGCTTTGATGAGGGTGAAGAATGTCTTTGTGGTTGTCGCATCGCCCGTCTTCCGCAGTCTCTTGGAGCTTCGTCTCCGCCCAAGTAGTGGCCGAAGCTCAGGCGGTTGCTCAACATCACCGTCCTCTTGGTCGTCAATGGCGGATTCGTCTTCGCTATCGTTGTCCTCGAGATCTTCGCCTGCAAAGCTTCCGTACAGGTCGAGGAAGTCAACAAAGTTCTTAGCCACAATTGTGTAACCACTCATGCGTCTTTGACGGGCACGTCGCTGGATGTGGTATCGTCGGAAGCCTCCCGGCTCACGCTGCTCGGAGTGACTCAGTTCGTCTTCGGACGCCAAACGGGGAACTGCATGATGGGAGAAGGTGGCAGCGCGGCGGAGAGAACTTGCGCGAGCCTTGATCTTGAACATGTCGCGATGCATATCACCACCTTGTAGAAGGAGCGAGGATTCGACCGGTTCTGCTTGAGAGTCATCGTTGAAGTTTGTGGCCGAAGCAGAGGCTGAACCCGAGGGGTTGGCGGGCCCAAAGGCAACATCTGGGTCGGCTGAGTATCCATCTGGAAGATGCCTTTCGAGGATAGCAGCCTTTCTATTGTTCGTGTCGCTGCCCAGGCTGCTGGGGGTTCCGTCGAAATTGGCAAAGTCGGCCATTGCTGGGGGTGGTCACAGAAGAGGTTGATAGTGACGTAGTGTAGTGTAGTTCAGTAGTGGCGGTGGAAATGAAGCTCAGGAAATGGTAAAACAGAAGAAGGTGGATGTCTTAACAATGCTTGAATCACAAGTAGATAGGAGATTATCAGCTGGGTTAGCCGTCACTGTAAGCGTCAACTATCATCTGATGACAGTAGGAAAATGAGCAACAATGGATTCAAAAGAAAAGAGAAGAAAATATTGAAGCCCTGTGAACGGCAATTCGCAAGGTTGGGTCTGGGTCTCTTGTTGTACGACAACCAACCCGGGGTCGGTGAATGTCTCTCCCGGTCGAACAGGCTAGCTTCTTGAGGCTTGGACCAGTGGAGAGTGTGACCCACGTGCAACAGAGCAAGAACGACGATGGGAGGTACTCAGTACCTTGTGAGTGTGGGAGTTGGGACGATAATGTGCAATTGAGAACGTATTCGTTACCTAGGTAAGCGTATGAGTTCTTGTTACATGCCTGTTTCTTGCATGTGCACATGTGGTGGTGACACTGATGAACACCATACTCAGTATTCACCCTTCCCTATTTGATCAAATCGAAACTTCCAGAACGAGATAGAGCAAGCACTGAGAGTACACAGGTAGCAGAATCATGAAATGATCCTGATGATAGTTATCTAAAGAAAAATACAACTCATGATGATATACCATCCAGATCAAATGAGCACCACTGTAACAAATGAATACAATAGACTACGTCACGCATTCGTAATACAAATAAACGTGTAACTTCCACGCCAGTTGACACTATTTCCTGTCATCGTCTCTCTCTCTCTCTCTCAAACAAAAAAAAAAAAAAAAAAAAGTAAGATGGTCGATGCTCTTATGCGTCTTCTTCAACAGAAGGTTACTGGCACCGCAGCTGTTTAGCCGGAGAAAAGCCGCCAGAATCGGGCAAATTTTCTCCTCAGGCACGCGGTGAGGAACTAAACCCAATACGTTTGACGCGCCTGTCCTTTCGCAGCCACCAGAAAGCTCACTCATCAACCTCAAATTCGACGCTCAATCTCATTCACCTAATCCCAGCTCAGCTCATCCCGACCCCAACCCAACACAACCGTCAATATGAGCTTCGCACCCATCAACCCCCGCCCTATGCTTGAGGAGCTCGTCAGCAAGCAGGTTCTGGTTCGCCTAAAATGGGGCGAGACTGAATACAAGGGCACTCTGGTCTCGATAGACAGCTATATGAACATTCAACTTTCCGGCACCGAAGAGTACATCGACGACAAGCCCACTGGTTCTTTGGGTCAAGTACTGATCCGGTATGGGCTCTCTCCATGTACAGTCTGCAAGATATTTGATGCTAATTAGACTCTTAGGTGCAACAACGTGCTATGGGTGCGCGCAGCTGACGCAGGAAGCGACGCGGATGCTGCCATGTCTGGTTAACCTTGGTCTCTATGGAAGGCGATGGGACTATCTGATCTGAGGGATAGAGAGGAGGATACGGCGCTCTCGACAACGCAGAGATTTATTCTAGTATGAGCCCTGCGTCCGGGGCCTGACCTAACGCGACACCGCTTTTTTCAACCACCAAAAACTACACCCGAAGCTGGGTTCATGTACTCACGGACGCTTCATCGGGACGCTGCAATTGTCGAATTACTTCAAAATTTAGATATGAATTCCAGGCGGACGACCCAAGCAGCCTTCAGGACGGCAGGGTTGCGGGGTCTTAATTCTTATTTCAACTTCTGAACAAGACCAAATTTCTCCTCGTTTACGTGTACGGCTCCCGAACAAGAGCTTCAACTCAGCCTCATACTAGTTATATGTGCGATTATGAGGGATCAGAGACCTGGACGGTGAACTACTCTGTTTTGACATTTCAGATAAAAATCAACAGCTGTCTCTGGGTCAAGACTGGATGATGGGGCTGGATTTCTACGAACCCCTATTAGAGGCAAACCAATATTTGAAACTCCCAAGCCTCACCCGACTGATAGGTTGACTGCAAAATCAGTCGGCGCAACGCTGTCGAGTTATCACGAGGCAAAGGCACTGGCTTACCTTTGTAACCCATTGGTTGGATTTGAAAACGAAACGTTCCTTCGCAACTAGTTGACCTTACTGCAGGACAAAGCTTGTAACACGATCCTGTTTGTTTCCGACGTGACAAGAAGCAATGGCTGGTATTGATGCCAGTGTTCTTTACAAGTCCGGATCGCGTTCTCTTTCTTGAAACTTGAAAATATTTCATGGTCAGGGACCTTAATCAACTGGGCGACCTGCATCTTGCGCTTCTGCATCTAAGCTCTCTACCTGGATTCCCAGCAAAGGCATTCACAGTTACTATACATTTCGCTCCCAATGAGCGATAGATTTAACTAAAGAAGACTGTTCATATGGCAGCCAGTTGCTTATTTTCCCCACAAGTCAACCTACAAAGGATCTTGAAAACTAATATGAAGTCTTTTTCTCTCTCTTCGTTTTCCTATTTAGGAAGATGATTAGTATGAAGCCTGTATTCTCGTAACCGGTTAACTATTTCTGAAAGTTATTTATATACTTTCAGGCAAAACACAATGTAGACAACTGATGAATTACCAAATGCACAATAAAGATCCTATAGATTGGGCTCCTGAGGTTATCTCAGTAGACTGTTCCTTGTCTTAGCATAAACAGTTGAGTCAGGTTGCATGATACAGCTCTTGGCCTGTTTATCTCTTTATGTTAGAACAGTATATATACCTCTGTTGAAGTTATTTGTGAAATAACAGCAAAATGATGCACTCATGGCTCTCTATAGAGATTACATGTCTATGTACTGAGACTTTCAATTGAAAATATTCTTTCTAAAAGGCTCTTTATTAAGAAGCAATAGTATTTTCTTTGGTTTATTTATTTACTTATAACTAACATATTAACTGTAAGTAAGACATATAATTAAATAAATTAAAAACTTACTGTAAAAGAAGAAACTAAGTAGTAAACTAATTTGCCTCTTGTGGCTCTTTTGATGGGAAAAACTGAATAGTTAATGACCATCTTCGACTGAATAGGTGTGGATTGAGTACTTTGAAACGAGTAAAATAATTATTAATAAGAAATACCAAGGTGGTTGGTGATTAAGGCGCTGCACTCAAGAAATCCACTCGCAATTACCTGCGTTTGCAGTGTTAAGAGATACTTAGGTTCAAATCCCAATCTTTGGCATCTCGTTTTTTATTGGAATTCTGTCAGGATAGGTACATCGAGTACAGATCGTCTTCCAACCACAAAAAAGCTTCAAAGCAAATGATCATCTGGGCTTATGCCCGTCCGGAATTCACATGATGCAAGTGAGGCTCGAAAAGATAACAAAGCCCTATCCCGCCTAGTTTCTCTTGAATACCTACCTAGGTAGCCATGTATTTGGGCGTTGAACGATACAGGCACTAGAAATGGCCATCCATCTAACACCAGCAAGAATCCAGGCTCGAAATATCAGGCAACAACTGGCGGGGGCCTCAGGTAGCCCTTGTGTCCTGCCTGGATGGGAGCGGGGAACGGGGATGCTGGGGCCCGCCGTTTTTAAGTGCCGTAAATCTGGGGTAAGCGGGTCTCCTAGAGGACTCAGTGGGTACGTTATAGCGGGGTCCCCAGAGACCTTCAGCATGCTAGCGGCAGCGATACTTGGACAGCACTCGACTTTTGAAAGCGTAGCGAGTAAGGCGCTGCAAATTGAACGCCTAGCCATTGGATTTACGACAAAAGTACTCGAGTGGAATGTCACTGAAACCTCGGTCTGCACGGGACGATAGCAGGGAGGGACTCTGGGGAACACGTCGCACCCATAAACCTCAATTCTGCTATTTCTTTCAAGCGTGTGCTTCATGCCGGCCTTTGGGGAATGCTGATTATTTTTTGAATTTGTGAGGGCCAATTCAAATTCTGAACAAACAACCGACGATTGCAATGCAATCAACATCAGATAGTATCCCTTGGTCGTCAATCGACTCCTCAACTGGGCTGATACTTGCATTTCACTGTTTCATCCTCCCACCAACTCAACTGTTCAAGTAGCATGGGTTCTAGGGTTGAGACTACAGTACAATCCATCATTTTCCCTTTAACCGAATGTTTTATTTGTACCCCTGAATGACTGTTGTGCCTTTTTTTCTATACCATGAATTCAATTATCATTCAACTCTTGCACAAATTATAATAAGAGGTCACCGGGGCTTGATTACCATTGTGACGCGCAGAACATTAGGCTGAGTGGTTTGACATGAGTGAATCCTGGCAACTACTGGGTCCGGAACAAACCTTTGGTGAAAGGTACCTGGCCAGACACCTACGCCACCATCTCGCTTCGAGTTCCATTGCACTGGACAGGAAGCATCACCTGGCCCGTTCCTGTCCACTGCAGTCTACAGAATTTCGGCTACATCTCCTCAAAACGATAATGACTTTGAGGCGTCGCTGGCGTGGCAACCTTCCCTTGAATCTGTACACGGTCGGCACGCTCCTTGATCTCATCAGGGCATCGCATCATAATGCTGCACTGTTTTCAGAATGATTTGAACCAACCGCAGGCAGCGAGCGACCAGATCACAAGGACTAGAGTCTACGCGATGGAGGGCATTAACCTAACCAACGACGAATCACCACCTGTCTCGGCCTGCGGGAGAGTTTGAGGTTAGGGGGAATTTGCAAGCCATCCGTCGACCAAGTGTAACCTTGTAGACCAACACAGTATCTGACTCACTATGTACCGGTGTCTGCACTGACGCACGCTTACGTGCCCAAGTACCATTCAGCTCAATCACAATCCCCGTATCCTTTGCCTCCCTGTCGCAGCCTCCTTCTTGCTCTTGCTCTTGCCAATACCTAAGCTGATCATCCAAGCGCTCTGCTCTTACCCCGCTCGATCTTCCCAAAGCATACAGCATGGTTGCACATATATAACGGAAGGAGGTGCCCTTTTTCATCCTCATTTGATTCTTTCATCTTTCATACCAATCAAACTATTCTAACATTCCATCAATTTGAATCCGTGCAACCCATTTTCCCTTCGTCCTTCCAACCATAAGCAATACTACATCACGTCTAGTCGACCCAACCATCAAATAGTGAGCATTGCCCTTTCACAATCATCTCTGGCACTTTCCTAACACGTATCACTCAGACAGATACCTTCAACTTCCCTCAATAACAACATCAACATGCCCGTCCGCGTTCCCAGACTTCCTGCTGCCAAGCCCTCAGAGATCTTCTGCATGGGTGCGGCCGGTGTTGGCGTTTTGACACCTTTGTACCTCGTCATGCCTGGCGCCGAGGAACGCCTATCTAACCAGACCAACAAGTGGGCTCCACGATGGGAGAGGAATCTCAGCTACTTCATCCCTCCCATGGAGAAGGGTGTTCAGCGCATCGAGCCTCCGGTATCCAAGATGGTCCAGCGTGTTGAGGACCGCCTCCCCCTTGAGAAGATGGCAAAGTCCGTTGATAAGGGTATCCGAAGTGGCATCGCCCGATTCAATGGCGAGAACAAGCCATAAGAACATATTTCTACTGTCAATTTCGTCATGCCTGTGGCTTTGACCATGACCCTGCCAACAACTTACTGCTAGGCATGCGTCTTTCTTTTGTAAATTATCATAGCATACCCTGGGTACGGATAGATAACTTATTGTTCGCATCGGCCCATATATGGATGGAATGAATTTTTATTTCTTTTCCTTGCCCCTCGACCGTTTTGTGATTGCTTCTTATAACATATCAGCCACAGGTGTCTGGCCCTGCCTGGTTCTAGGAAACCAATCATCAACTCATTAGACCGACCTACAGTTACTCCCTTCCTCTGCACAACACATGTTTGAGGCTCAAACGATGTAGTGATGAGTGGAACCGGGCTACGACACATCCTGGCTCGATAGCTTCAATCTAAGAATCTGTGTGGAGACTGAACCCTTGGTATGGATAATCAACCACTCGGAGGTCTTGCCCACGGATAATTGTTTGTGCGAACAACTAGGATTAATCGTTCTCTATCTGTTGCTTTGCAAGTAAGGTATTCGTGTGTATTTTGCTTGTTTCTGATGAGGCATGGTTGTGGCCATTCCTCAACACCAAGGTCTTTGTGCCTGTCAATCTAGTCTCCCCAAGTTGCAATACACACCTACTGATAACCAGAACTTGTCTTCGTGGATCCGCTTTCATGACTGACCCAACCTCCGGCAAGCCCCGCGATTAGTTAACCACATTAAATCATTTCCACCCCGCATTTCGTTTGGCGCCATGGACGAGACGGGCTTGAAGCTACGTCCTTTAGTTCCTCGCCTTTTGGGGTTCTCAACTGCTGATCCGACCATCATCTGATCCCTTACTCTGCCAATGATTCAGCAAACGATACCTCTCAATGTCCACGATTCTGCCCATATCAAACAGAGTTGCCAAAAACGTCCATAAAGCCCCATGTTGGGTATAAATGGTTTAAAGATACTCTGCAGGTGCGGGTGGCTATCTTTATCCGCTTGAATACGATTTATTCAGATCTGAAGCCACTTGAACAAACAATGGCAATTGAGACCCCAACACGCTCTTTGTATTCAACTTGGCAAACACCCTTTATAACGACATACTATATATAGTAAAGAACCATCCTTGAGGCTTTCACATGCAATCCGTTGTGGCGAATGGTTACACTTTCTCGCAGACGCTCATTTAAGGCCGTGTAAATAGCTAGGTGTACAGCCGGACTGAATCTGACTTTGATTTTCCTATTTGTACTACAAGTCCTTTTCTCGTTTCCAACAATTATGCACCGATGGCCAAAGGTTGAGCGTGGTAAAGAGAAGCCTAGTATATCATGTAACCTTTTTCACGGCCTTATAGCCCACAGGTTTATCAATGTTACAATTTGTTTTGTGATATTCAATGTTGGATGTCCTGCAAACACAGACTTCTCATACTTCTCGAAATATGTGCATATCAAGTTCAAAATTCCAAACAGAAATCCAAAACAGAACAAGCATGAGCACCCTTAAACACCTTGCACAAGAAACAAGAAACTAAGCACTCGTGCTTGACTAAGTAAAATGAAAGAAGTCGAGAGAGTAATTTCTCTGCTCGTCGTTACTTTCGTCATCTGCATGCATGGGCTTCCCCATTCCTCCATACCCTTCAACATGCCCCGAGCCTGCTGATTCAATAGTTCCACTGGTCCAAATTGTTCCGATCTGAGAGAGCTTATTTGGCACTTGCTCGTTCATAGCTCTTTCATTGTTGGCGAACTTGTCTGGATCCTTAGTTGAGCCAAAGGCAGCCATCCCTGACATTATACCAGTAGACATAGCAGCGCTCTGGTTCAGAACCGAACTTGCACTAAGGCCAGCAGTTCCAGATGTCCAGTCAACAGCACCATGAAAGTGGCCCTGTGCAAAGGAAGGCTGTATCTGGTGCAGACCCCAATTATCTGGCAACGGATTGGGGATATTCGTGGGGTTCATTGTTCCAATCATATGTGTCGAAGGTATGTCGGAATGATGCACATTGACGGTATTTCCAACCAAATTAAGGCCGAGCTGATCTGCCTGGTTATGCACGTTCATTGGAAACATGATCGAGCCAAGTGGCGGCTGACTGTGTTGACCATACGGCAAAGTATAGGCTTTGTCAGTAAGAGACGGCGCAGTCTGCGCCGTCATCCCCACGAATGGTGGCTTTGATGAAGAAAAGTCCGACGTCTGTCGGTGAATAGAGGGCCGTCTCTTTTTCACGGGCTGGCTAAACTCGGCATCCGCTTCTCGCCTGACTGGAACGACGGGAACAGGTGAATTGCTGTCAAAAGGCAACCCACCTTTCGCATTTCCGACACCCGCACTGACGGTATAGCCTGCACTACCACTGCGTGATCGTGGTGCATCGCTCATACTGCTCCTGATCTGCTCCAGGACGGCTTTAAGTAAATCATCCATCCTCATGGCCGGATGGTATGTAGAACTCATGTCCCCAACAGCATCCGAGAGAATCTCGAGATAGCCGGTATAGGTTTGACGGCTGGGTTCGTTGCGTTGATAGGCGAGTGCAGCGATTAATGCAATCGAAGCTGTACCGGCATGTTGGATACCCGTTATAAATATCTTGCGTCCGTCAAACCTTTGACGATGTTGCCAGAAAATTCGGGCAACACGTATTGCCTGCTGGGTGCAGATACTGCGGGCCAAAGATGTACGACTGCCATGGACAGCACGCTGACGATCATCTGATGTAGTTGAGGGAGTTTCTGGGTTGTGCCCAAATGGCTGCCCCGGGCTCTCAGAATCTGCCATCATGTCATTTTCAGGACTGGGGTAAGAGCCAGTGCTAGAATTGTCTCCAGTAATAGCACCATACTTGGCCCATGGCCGGTGCAGCAAAATCATGGTGACGTGGTATTGCTGATGTAATAAGAAGAAGCTGTAGGGAGCTGTCTTGACATTGCTTGGTTTCCATGCCATACGATCTGGTAAACGCCTGTACCAATTTTGAAGTTGCCTGTCGAGATTTATCACCTGCAGGTATTTATTTTCCTCGGCTTCGTTTGTGGCAAAAGTACCAGCATGTTCTGCAGCCCTATTGGAACTTGTCAAGTCCCGTATCTCAACAATGCGGCCTGCCAATTCCATCAACTCAATGAGTTGTTCATAAATCTCTGTTGTTATATCTGTTTTGGTATTGTCAAGACCAAAAGCTGCTAGTTGTGAAAATCGGTTTGATAAGAGATCGACATCTTGGCTCTTGATAGCCAGTGGACGTCCTAGGAATAGGCCCCAATATCTGTCGTAGATAACGCATGCTTGCATTACCATGTTGCGAATTTTGGTATCCTGTTCAGACATGTTACTAGTACAGTCGAGATGCAGCCCAATATCAAAGGCGAGGCGATTCGCCATTCCTGAAATTTTGTTAGTTCGAGATCGATCCGAGCCCAGAGTTTGAAAAAACCTCACCAGAGTACATCCAACCGGTGTTATCTCTGCCGACACCGCATTCGAGGTCACCAAGAAGAAGCAAAGCTTGAACACTTGGGATGCCACCTGGCCGTTCAAGCTCAATATCAAGCATGTGCTTGGCCTCTCGGTGGAGTGTGCTTTCTCGCGGATTTAACGTGATTTTGCGCATGTCATCTCTATCCATATCTGCTGCACGGTACCCCATAGCCAGGACTGTTATATGAAGGAAATGGGAGTAAAATTTGGAGGATTTGGAGCTGCGGTCGGCTTCGAAAGCGGTTCGATCAATGATCTGTATGACGGAATTGTAGTAATGGAAGAAACCGTCGATAAGGTAATCATGTGTTTCTTGACTCAACGATTGAATGGTTTTCACGGCCCTACGGATCTGCTCCGAGGGCTCATGACTATCAGATAAACTTGTCGATTCAGCATAAACATGGCTGTTGGCAGTGGGACCGAAGAACCGTAGCCGCCCAGAGATTTGATCGAACGATAGATTACCCTTGGTAGAGAGCAGACGATGAATAACATCTTCATGCTTGGAATCAAACATGCGAAAAGGTGAACCTTCATTTGATGGACGGGGATTTTCAGAATGACTCCCAGCTGCAGGATCATTTTCATTTCCCACCGTATCGTCAGCGTGTGAGTCGGGTGGCGAACGACAATCGCTTCCGGGAGACTTTGGATCAGCCTGTGGCGATGGATCCGAGTTGCCTGATGCAGTCGCCATGCCCTCTTGAAAATCATGCCTCGTCTTTGGGGGATAGGTCGCGGGCGGTGGCACGACACCCTTTTCTAAGAGCATGCCTTCGAGCAGAGAGATTCGATCTGACAATGATGACATGTACGCTTTAGAAATAGGTCTAACATGACTCCATTAGACTGAAATGAGAATAAGACAGGTGAGCTTGAGCGCATACCTTCTGCGCTCATCGTCATTCTTGATGATGCATTCGGCACCAGACTTGGCACAAGCGGTACATTCATTTTGATTCTTGGGGACGACGCATCGAATTCTTCGATCGCGACACGATGCACAAGCGACAGATGCGCGATGCCGCACTTGCTGCTTGCTCGCCTGGCGCCCTGCGGCTGCGGCTACGGCTGCGGGGGCCTTTGGTGAGACGTCCTTCTGGCTCGCTTCCAGGTTAGGGGCATCTTTCGCATTGGCCGAAAGAGCCATGGCGAGGCAAGCTGCGCAGAACCTCGGGGCAGTGAGTCCCTCCCAGAAGCGGCTCACGTTTCACGAGGCTGATGGGTCTCGGATAACCGGATTTGGCTTCGGATAGGTCTGGGCAAGTGGTTGATAAGGGGGAAGTTTTTAGTCCCTTGAGGAAGCGGAGATGGAAAGTAAGGAGCTGTCCCTGTTTCTTTAGCGCGTGCTGGAGCTTGGACCTTCCCCACGTTAACACTACTAAAAGAGACAGTGCTAGAGAGCTGAACAGGATACCTACTAACCCAGGTATACATATTAAGACGTCAAATACCTTTAGAATAAATTTATGTTCAAAATATATACAACTACTAGTATCCTGATATGAGTTTGGAAATAATAAGTGATGTGCAAGTTTTGAATGGATTGGTTATTTCTAATCAGTCTTCTGTCTAATGTAAATAGAGAGACAACACTGACTAGAGAACAGATGATACTAGTAGCAATGGAATTTCATTATTAGGCTATAAAGGTAAGTCCATAGATATTATGAGGATAGATGAGTCTAGTCTTACTCCACGACAGGAGTGGCTGATAATGCTTTGTCAAATCTCAGCCTGGTCATACAGGCAAGGCAAATCCTCATACGACAGCTTCCCTGACACCAATTTGAGCATTATGTCCCTTGCTCATTCAGCATCCTTAGTGAAATACCACTCACGTATACTGTTCATAGTATTTTATAATTCTAAAACAGCCTTCTTAGCCCTTTGGTCTTCTCGTCGTCATATAAGTCACGTTCATCTTCTGGTGTAAGTATATAATCCCCTTCATAGCTTATGTCAAACATGCTGTAGGTCAGGATAGCCGCGAGATCTGCGCTTACTATTCTACGGGCCATGCTTCGGGGTTCTTGTTCGATGATAAAACGTAAATAGACAGCGTAAAGAGAAGGCATGGGCGCTGTCTTGTTATCCACAGCGACTTCGACATCGATGTCGAAGGTGTCTCGTTCGCTGCCCAGCAAATTCAAAGCGAACCCACCAATGAAGGCGTGTGGGATTCCATGTCTCTTTAGAACACTCGAACACTCGAGAAGGCACTCGCAGCCTCCTTATTGTAAATATCGACAGCTGACATGATGTTGGCAATGTTCAAAGGGAAATGAGCTAGGAGCTAGGCGTAGATGTTATGAAATCATTAGGTCAGTCAGTGCCTAGGTAAGCTTATGGTATTTAGACTGGACCTTTAGGCTATCTATCTTTATGTTCAAAAGATTAGATATAACCCTTTGATTTTGCAGATAAGGCAGAAAATGGTCAGTTGTTTCAAAGGCATGGCCTTGGCTAGCCCCATTATCAAATTACCTTTTTGGTAACCTAAAGTTTAGACGTCAACCTGCCTGTTACCTCTTGAACTGAAAGATAGAGAATTGCTTGGCAAAATATTATGCGTACAACGGTATTTCCCTCGAAGGAAGATAAAGAATACTTACTAGGTAGCCAGGTGCTCTCTGCGCCTAACGTTACTCGTCGCTTCATCCGCCAACCAAGACGTCAAGCCCTGCATTTAATATTGCTAGCTACTTAAATTTAAATTTATAAAAATTACATATTCCTGATATACTTAATTATTGAAGCAGTAGCTTATTGTACATCATTTATACTTATTTGTGGTTAAAATATAGAAAAATACCAAGCCCGTTTGTTTATACGCTTATCATTTCTATCTTATCTTATCATATACGGCTAGGCCACTACCTATTTTGTACTCTGTACCTCTCCAATACTGACATTCACTCTGTACACCACACTATTATCCCTCTACACCTCACTTAACACAATGTCAATCCCAAACGAAGCTCTTCAAAAGGTATATACTCCCCGGTATTTCCTTTTACCAACCGTACTCTTCATGTTCAGCATTGTCCGATGTAGAGGCCGCTAACGACATTTGGACACTCAGTTGGTGCGGGAGATCGAAAGCCAGGCCTTGGTGGCCCAGCAGCAGATTGGCCTCGCCCGTACACAAATGACTTCAAAGCAGCGCGAACAGCGCCTTGTGAAGCTGACTATGAATGAGATGGCTACTCTTCCTTCTGACGCGGTGGTGTATGAAGGTGTTGGAAAGATGTATGTACCCTTCTCTCCCCGAAACATACCCCTACTGGTCTATCCACTATAGCTCATGGTCCGATGTCTGACTGCTGTTGTAACATTTTCTAGGTTCGTCTCACTGCCTGTAGACTCTCTTCGACAGAAGCTCGAGGGCCAGACGCAAACTTTGGAGGGAGAGGTGGACAAGCTCAGTCAGAGGTTGCTGTACCTGGAAACTACACACAAGAATAGCCGCGAGCATATTGAGCAGATGCTTCGCGCCAAATAAAGCTAGCAATAAAAAGCTTGCAACATGAATCACATACTCAGTTTCATCGTTGCCCTACCTCGATTACTTATTGACCGTGCCAAGTTTTCCTACCTACAAGCATCTCGGCGGCTTGGTTTCATCAAGCGCCAGTTTGCCGCCTTGTCACCCATCTTGCTACCATGAAACCCTACGTCTGCGCCTTAATCAACCCACCAAAGCACCACCATTTACCTCTCAACGTCAACGCGACCACCGAGGGAGGCTGTGGTCACGGGCAGACGCAATGCTGCTTTAGGATGCGATCGTCTCGCGCCTGTAAGACCCAAAGCGTGGCGCCAATCCTAATGAGGAGGGTCGGGGTTGATGAAGCACAGTAGCTCGACAGACGAACATTTTGTTGCCTTCAGCTCGAGGAACCCACCGAGTATTGACACCTCACACTTAGACCAGTTGTTAAGTACAGCACATAACTGTTACCACATTTGATCAGTCCTTAACCTCTCAAATCTCACCGCTGCTTCTACAATGGGACCGCCAAGTTGTGCGACGTATCTACCTAAAACCACATCATATTGCTGACAATCCGAGGAACAAGGGACCATGTTCAGATGGATTTAGCCCCCGCTCAGTTTCAGCCCCCACCCCCTCTTCTTCTCTTAACGCCAGCCCTATAGCAAATAGCCCGGTGAGCGGTTCCCTCCGAACGACGGATGATCCTTGTTATCTGTGGGTTGTGGCTCTTTTATATCAGCCGCTGTCGCTCCTCCTGCTCCTCTTCTGCTTACTTCTTTTTCCTACTCCCCACTATATTTCGTATCTTTACTGACAATCGCTGCTGTTCTTACCAGACTCCAGTCTCAGTATATCGACTTCACTCGGCGAGCTAGTATCTATCTGCCAAGATGAGCCGAAGTAACTACAGTTACGACGACGAGGATGACTACGATGTTCGCTACCAGAAACGTGGACCATCTCCGTCTCCGGCGGCGGGCGTTCGTTATGTCGCAAGTCCTCAACGTCCCCAAAACTATTTCAACGCACCTCCGGGACCCAGCTACCTCGGAGCTGATCGCCTCAATATAACAAGCATACACCGATCTAATTCTCGCTCCCGTTCCCGGGACTACTCCCGAACACGGGAACGCCGTGCAAGCAGCCCGCCAGCTCCAGCTCCTGTGATCATCACCAACAAAATCTATAATGATTTGTCTTCTGATGATGAGGATGATCGTCGCAAGAAGCAAGTATCACGATCGTCTCGCCGGCGACGCTCTCGCTCATCATCGTCATCGTCATCGTCATCATCATCCCGTTCTCGGTCTCGGTCTCGGTCATCTGCATATATGACTCGAGAAGCATGGGAAGCTGAGAAAGCTCGCAAGGAGCTCGAGGACTTGCGAATTGCTACAGCGCGTGAGAAGGATGAGCGGAAATTAGTTAAGCAATTCCGTGATGAGTGGGAGGCCGAACAAGCGCGTAAGGACCTTGAGAAGAACCGGCTCGCTAGCTCCCGTGAGAGAGACGAGCGACAGCGTGAAAAAGACGAACGGAAGCTAGTCAAGGGATACCGTGAAGAGTGGGAAGCAGAGCAGTCCCGCAAAGAGCTTGAGAAGATGCATCTTACTCATACTCGAGAGGAGGAAGAACGGCGACGCCTGAGAGAGATTCGAGAGGAGGAAGAGCTCAAGCAGGCCAAGCGCGAGCTAGAAAAGATCAAGGGCCGCAAAGCTCGTGCAGAGGAGGAAGATCGGATTAAAAAGGACATTGAGCTGAGACGGCTCAAGGAAGAAGACGAGGCCGCAGAAGAGAGGCAACGTCGCGAGAAGGAGGCCAATTCTGCGGTCGAGGATTATAAACGGAGGGAACTCGAACGTATTACAAAAGAGAAGAAACTCAGGGATCAGAAGGAGAAGGAGGCTGCTGAAGCCGTTGAACGCTACAAACAAGCGGAAAAGGATCGCATAGCAAAGGAGAAGGCCGATAAAGATGCCAAAGACAGGGAGTACCAAAAGCGTCTGAAAGAAGATCTCATCAAGTCCGGGCTTGATGACAAAGCTATCGAGGCCATCATGAAGAAGGAAAGGATCAAGAAAGAACAGTCTAATCCTCGGCCTCAACAGCAGCCTCTACCGCACGGGATGCCAGGTCCAGCCCACCAATACGCCCCTGTCAACCAAATTGCCACCATCCCTCCTCATCCAGCCGGCCAATACGCTCCTGTCAACCAAATTGCTAACGTCCCTCCTCACCCAGCTGGCCAGGTTGCTCGCCCAACTTATACACGCATGGCTCGGCGTCACTTGTCCATCGAGTCATTGCGTGAGTTTGGTGTTGAATTCGACTTTGATGCGGTACGGAACCATATGATGGACAAAGTCCAAGTAATTCACGCATGACACGATGAGCTTACTTTACTTCTAGGATCCTGACTACGTACTCATCCGACGCTGGGTTCCCGAATGGGAACAGGATCGACTATGGAAACACACCAAGCTAATCCGTGAGAAGCGGAGCAAGATGCTTATGGTCGAGGAGAAGAGACACGGAAGGGATGAGCCAGAGTTTGAGTGGGTACGCAAAAAGTCAGATAAGCACAGCCGTCGCAGAAGCAAATCGCCTTCGCTTCTAATGTACTTGGCCGGTGTGCGCCCGGCGTAAGATCGGAAGACTAGACATTGACCTCGAGCGGAACCTTTTATATTATATTGACTAAGTGGCAATGCTCTATTTGTACTTTAGTGGTGAGGTTTTGATACAGTTATTGTACACAATATATAGTTACTTCGCTCCAGCTCGACGGATTAACTCTTCGTAAACAGTCCAGGCCAGTGCCGAACTCATAGCTTTGCGACTCATTCGTAAAGCAAGGCCATCCCACAACGATCGAACGCCCTCTTGCGTCACCATTTTATACCATGCATGCCATATATTCTTGTACTCCAACGGCTGTAACTGAATACGAGTTTTGACCGCATCGAAGGGGTTTGAAACTATCGAGCATGCTGCGCCGGCGAGCATCGCAGAGGTGAAGTTGACTGAGCTGGCCAGCGTAGCTTGCATCCTAGTCTGCCCGTCACCAGAAGCGGCAGGCTTGGACGCCAGAGCTCCGAGCCGTGACTTGAGCATTTCGTAGAAAAGCACGTACATGCCAGCATATGGTGCATCTCGCAGCGCAGTGGCTCCGAATCCAGAAAAGAAACCACGCAAGCCATGAGTCCGGCGGATGTCAACCGCGGCAGACATGATGGAGGAATAAGAGTAAAGGCTGGACTCGAAGCGAACTTTTATCACAGTAAGTGGCATCAGGACAAAGCCAGCAAAAGTCCTTGCGACTGCGCCCGATATCAGGTTGCCTGAGTTCGTCAACGACGGGAGCACTGATGAACGGCCTTGTGTCTGGAGACGACGACCAAGAATGCCCGTCTGATGCGCATGTTGACGTATGGCGTTCAGTGACGTGAAATAGAGGGCTGAGCCAAACCCGGTCCTCAGTGCCGAGGGAACAGTGCCTCTCCAGAGCGACTGCACCAGGCTTGAGGATTTCTTCAGTTCGCGCAAAGTAGCAACAAGTGATGAGCTTCTAGACTGTTGTACTCGTGTTTTAAGAAGATCTAACGGCTGCAATAGAACGGCTGAGGTTACACCAGAGCCAAGACCAGATACAAAGTGACGGGCTGTGAAGGTGTCAGATTGTGAATCCCGACGTCGATCAAGACCGGTCCGCGCCGAGAGGCCCGGTCCTTGGAACCAGACGGTGGAGACAAGGCATACCTGAATTGGCCGGCCGCGAAGCTCTTTTTTCGGTCATTGGAGACGATACAGCTGCATCGTTATGTTGAGCTGACGAGCTAGCAATTGAAATACCCATGGCCAGTCACAGACTTGAGCCACACGTCGAAGGGATTGAGTGAGTGACATGACGAGATAAAATCGGGCTAAAAAGGGCAGACCCCGTTGAAGGAATCGGCCCCGCTTTGGTGCATCTAGCACGTGTTGGTAAAGAATGGCCATGTGTAGTACCGGATGACACACTCAGTTCACACCAGCGCCAACGCCACTTGTCCCAGTGCCGACACCAGCCTGACTGCCCCGATGGTAATCGCCTATGACAGATTCGAGACGTCCGGCCAAGAGACGATGGCGTTTGACAAGCTCGACCCATTCAACGCCGCCGATCGAGGCCAGGAGAAGGCCAAAGTCGGCGCCAAGTCTTCCCAAGCTTCCAGCGCAGTAAAGCACTTGTGTCAAGATGCTCTCTCTCGATGTCTGATCTTTGACGGTGGGAAGGTAGGTGCGTAGGGTTTCCACAAGCATCTCAACCATGTGCAAAGGGAAATTGGCCATTGGGGACGGCAAGGTTCCCAGAGGGTCCTCACTGCTGACCGCCTGGGGTGAGAAACTTGAATTTATACTCTTAAACACGGAGACAATACTGAAGCTCTGCTCGCGGAATATTTCGATGAACCGCTTCAGGTAGCGCTCCGTTTGTTGGCCGCCCGACCATGTGGTTGTAGCCTTGTCCTTCCTAAGTCTTTCCTCGTCTGCTAAATCTCGTAAAGGCTCCAGTGCTTCCAAAGTTTCCAAAAGCGTTGATAGACGGCAGACCAAAAATACGGCTGGAAGTGCGTCCTCTGTCGAGGCGTCAGTGACAAGCTCGGGGACGATGCGTTTCAGCCAGCCCATGGTTCTGACAGCTGCAGCGAGCTTGAGGTTTGGCGCCCTGAGTGTTCCAATAAGATCTGCTGCCATTTGCCGAATAGCAGCATCTGCCTCTTCCATTACCGATGCTACGAGCGGTGAATCTGGGTAGAGGGAAGCAAGACGGCGGACATGAGCGTAGAGCTCGAGCGTGGTGGAATGATTGACTGGGGCGGTTGAAACAGCAGACGAGAGAAGCAGGGGCATCTCCATGACATCGACTAGTCGTTCGGAGTTTCGAAGCAATAGCAGAGTCTGTTTCCTTCGGGCAAGCAGCTTGCTGTCGCTAGCCTTACCAAAGGCTGACGAGAAGTGTTCAGCCTGAGCATCTAGACGAGGTACTGCTTGGACGAGATCGGAAGCTCGCTGGGCTAGCGTCGGGAGAGAGTTCCTTAAGGAAGCATGACTGGCTGCTGAATCGACGATGGGTTTATGAGATCTTTTCGAAAGAGCTTGTATAGCGAGGAGTAGAGAATGCGACGTCTGGGATAGGACTTGGGGCTCCGTTGTTTGCAAAAAGCTGGATTGTCGCTCGGCAAGGTATGTGAGATACTCCAGAGCAGCTGGGTCGTTTGTCTGTTCAGGGGCCAGCAACTCCCTCAGAGCTTCGGCCATGATGGATCGTAAGTCGTATGGGTACGTGACACGATGCGATGCAATGCGACTGATGTTCGAGTTCGTTTCGCGCCAATAAGGATACAAATGTGTTACTAGACACGAGCTGTGTTAGACTCGAGTCATGCGAAAATAAGCAATGTATATGCCTTTTTTTATCAAGCTTCCGCACAAGACCCAGTAGCAGGTGGTGACTGGACTTGGTCGACGTCAAGGATGATCGGGTGCTCTTATGAATGATGTGGCAGCTGGACTGCAGTACCTAGACTAAAGGGAGCTGATTTAATGTGGTGGGGTTGTACTGCAGAACAATGGTGGCACCCTCTGACATCAAGTAACTCACTATAAGTAAAAAAACCTCACAGGTGATTGCTTACCCCAATCCCAACGTCTAGGCCATAGAGCAATTTAAACCTATCAAAGTGGCCGTTATACATTAATTCTTCCTCAAAAGGTTGCGGCACGGTACGAATCACGGATTAAGATACAAAGACAGATATACATAGGTAAGCACTGAGTGAGTGCTTCGTAGATCTAAGACGGACCCTCCCAGCGGACCCTTACCCGTGGTTGTCCCACGTGAGCTTCCCCCAACAGACGTGATACCTGCTAACCTGCTAGAGTACGGGCACTTAAGTTACTGCAATGGAAGCATAACTTGGTTCACATCGCGTTGCCTCGGTCTCTTTCTCTCTTTACATCCTCGCCCTCTCTTCTGGCAAATTTGAGATTGGCCTCGATCTTCCCTGCACCAACCATCGAAGCAGCTCACGCAAACCATCATGAAAGACCCATTTCCTTTGCCGCCTATTGCATGGCTGTCCGAGAAGGTACAGCCTTTTGCCGACTACTTCGATCTTCCGACTCTACCATTACACGTTCACGAAGTCCTTGCCGCCGCGCTGCTATACTCCGTTATATTTTGGCCAATCTCGCCATGGATCTCAAATCTTCTAGCTCCGGAGCACTACTCCAAGCTGTCCCGCAAGCGACGTCTCAACTGGGATGCTCATGTTGTTTCCATGGTCCAGAGCTGCTTGATTAATGCCCTGGCTATATGGGTCATGTTTGTCGATACCGAGATGAGCAACATGAACTGGGAGGAGCGCATTTGGGGTTACACTGGTGGCGCTGGCTTTATCCAAGCCCTTGCCGCTGGGTACTTTCTCTGGGATCTCGTCGTTACCAGTCTGAACTTCGATGTCTTTGGTATAGGAACACTCGCGCATGCGATTGCTGCGCTGCTTGTGTACTCACTGGGATTCGTACGTCCGCTTCATGTTTCATGGGACCGTGAACACTAACATATATTCTACAGCGCCCCTTTCTCAACCACTACGCCTGTGTCTTTATCCTTTGGGAACTTTCTACCCCATTCCTCAACGTTCATTGGTTCATGGACAAGCTCAACATGACCGGTACCAAGGCGCAGTTGTATAACGGTATCGCCCTCCTGTTCACTTTCTTCTCCTGCCGCCTTGTATACGGAACATATTCTTCCTTCCGTGTCTACCGCGACGTGTGGTCTGCCATCAACGTAAACCCTGACACAAAGGCTCTCATGATGCCCACCATGTCGTTCGCTCACCCAGACTCTACGGTACCTATGTGGATTGGAGTTGCGTATTTGGCAAGCAACGTTACTCTGAACAGTCTCAACTTTTACTGGTTCTTCATGATGGTTCGCGCCGTCCGGAAGCGCTTCGATCCGGCTTCCGAGTCACACGAAAAGGTTGAAGAAAGCCCTATTACCGAGGCCGAGATTAACTTCTCGTCTGTGGCAACAGGGCAATCCAAGGCCAGTGGCGGTCGTCGACGAAAGGCTTGAACGAGTTGAGAGCAATGGCAACATATATCTGCGCATAGTCTAGCGTCCATTTTCCCAGTATTCGGGTACCAACGCCTGCTTTGATCTTCTTTTGCCCCAGTCCTGGTCCCCGGGTTTATGCATCAGTTGGTCAATATTCGCCATGATTTCACTTGCTGAAGAGGAAACGTAAGTGACAATAAAAGCCTTGCTGAACCTAGCTAGGCTCGCAGTCACTGTGTGCTTACAGCTGATCTTGGAGCTTACGTCAAGTCTTTTGGCAAGGTACGGAGTGTAGGATGGTTTTTGCTTTCGCATTCTCTGTTTTGTCTTTTGCATTTGGTTGTTTGATCGATCTATCAAAGAGCAACGATATGATGTTGAGGATTGTCACATGTTTAGATATCAACGCATGGTTTTGCATAGACTTATAGATTAAGATATGAGAACAAACTGATCCAGGTTAGCCGGGAGCAGTCATGAATATAGTACTATTATTCTGCGCTCGACTCTAAGGCGATCCTGCCTGATAAAGTCAACGCACGCATACAAGATATGAAGAGATGTGTCCAGAGTATTCGCCAGATTGCAAAACGACGCGGCCACTAACGTCCAATTGTTACAGGCGATTCCTGAATCAGAATCCAAAAGGATTTTGGGGAGCTATGAATAATGTCAGCATTGTGCAGCACAAAGTAGCTGGGAACATCGACTTACTTGCTTGCGACAGGTTGGCCCTTCGCCCCGTCGCTTGAGGAGCCAACTTCTTAGCGTCATTTGTCACGCCAAATCGAACAGGAGGAGCTGGTCCAGTTTGCTGTGGTTGCAGAGGCTGGAGGGTTGGCGCGTTGTTCATGCCGCCCATGTTACCCATGTTCGACATTCCAGTTGCTTGAGGAAGCAAACCAGGCATGCCAGTTCGCTGTGGTTCAAGAGCGGGCGGCAGATAGCTGTTGATGCCTCCAGTAGGGGCACCGTACATCGACTGCGTGGCAGGGAACGATTGTTGGAAACCAGTGGGTTGAGCTTGCATCGGCATGAACTGGTTCTGTCCCTGCATCCCTGTCATCATCGGTTGCATAAATTGTCCAGGGCCAGTTTGGAAAGGCATCTGTCCGGGGACTTGCTGTCCAGGGAATCCAGTCATGCTGGGCTGCATTTGTTGAAGGGGTTGCTGTTGCTGCATTTGAGCCGTGTATTGCTGTTGCAAGCGAGCTTGCGTAAGATCACTCAGGCTCTGGCCAGGAAGAGCAACTTGACCCTGCAGGGCACCTGTCATCTGGGGCATCATGGGAGGAGGCGCGAAACCGCTTGGCTGAGCTGACAGTGGTGCAGAGAGGGGCCGCTGAGGTGGAGGCGGGACAAGAGAGCCCCCGGAGGACGCTTGTGGCGGAGTAGGGCGTTGCCTTGCTTGCGCGACAGATGTGAAGAACGACGGGGTAGCCCCGGTTGGTGCTGAGGAGGTCGGCTGCGCAGAGATGACAGGTGCCTGAGGGGGGGCCGGTGCTGGTGCTGGTGCCGGTGCTGGTTCTGTCCTGGTGGGTTCGAGGGGTGTTGACAGCAGAGATAGCTCTTGCATGGAACCAGTCAGTGCTGGAGGAAGTGGTGATGCAGGTGCTGGCTCAGGGGCAGGCTTTTGGCTCGTTTCAGCAGGAGGCTGTGGCGATTGTTGCTTGCTCGGCTTGACATTCCAAGCGTCGTCATCGAAACCAGTACTAGCTGCTTGACGGGGCTCGGAATTCTTGTTT